GTGCCGATACGTGGTTAATGGTTATTTATTAAACTGCGGTTAGATAAAGATTGGTAATGAACAGAAATGTATTTTGATACCTCATCGCTTAAAAGTCTGGTCGATATTGAAGCTTCCTTAAAACTATCAGACTTTTTTGAAAATGGCATTTATTTATACCCAACAACTTTATTTATATTGCGCTGGAGGGCGCTTACTATGGTCTAAATTTTCACAGCCACGGTATTACACTAGAAACTATAAGCATTCGTGAAAGGTTCTCGAGCATTCGCTTCTTCTTTCACGCGATACCATGGCGCCGTTATGTTACAATACTCTTAGAGGTATTAATTCTTGTATTACGTGTGGGCGACTATTTAATATATCTTTATTAATTACTTCTTTTACCAAATGTTTCATGCAATAAAGTAACGTCTTTTTAAGTAGGTAGTCATCGGTTAATACCCTGGTTTTCCACTTATTTGTTTTCAGATATCTATGCTAGTTTCCATTTTTTTGCTTAGTTCCAATAAAACGCTTGTGAAAATGTTCATGTTCATTGCATTTCGAGGATAAAAGGGTGGGAGAGGAGTGGAGGTGCTGACAAAGTTTCTCATCAAAAGTAAGTGTTAAAGATATATGTATACAGGGCCTGATACAGGGTTTAACAATTAAGTATATCACAAAAATTAGGTAGGGGACAAAGCAAATATTTTTTCAATTGAAATGAAGATCCAAAAGTGTTTCTAAATTTATGTTCTTTAATATTTTTCCAGCAGCTATACATAGGACAGAATTAACACGTTTGAAGAGATTTTTGAGTGTGCCTTTTTTGATTTTACAAAGATTTACCATAGATTCGTACTTCAAGATAGCACACCTCTAAAACGGTTGTGCGAAAGAATTTATGATTTCGACAAAATTTACCTTTGGTCTATATTCAATTTGCGCATGCGCTACCACTTTTTGGCCTAGGCGAGCATAATGTTCGCATATTCTTATGCGATTTCTACTATCAAATGTGTATAATTTTCTTTTGAAAGTTCGTAAATACGTTGAGCAGCTTCGAGCCAAACTGTACTGATTCGCTAACCCGCTCGTTTTTCCTTCGCAAAACGGTTTCTTACTCATAAACGGTGTTGGGGTTTGTGTTTGTGCTGGTATTGGTGTGGTAGAGTATTTTTGGAAAACCAAAAAGAGCACACCCAAAAGCCACAAGCTCAACCTACCTACCTCCCAAATTTTTTGATGTACTTTATTGTTACACCTCGTATACTTCCAATACCATGCTTTTCGCAGTGCAAGCCTAGGTTTAAATTATTATCTTTTATTTATACAGGGTGTTTCCTTAAAGACATGATAATATTTAAGGGGGTGGATCTTGGGCCATTTTAAGAAAAAAACTTGCAACAATCGTATGTGCTAAGCGTTTTAACTTTCGAGATACAAAGTGGTAAAGTTTAAAAAAAATCAGTTTTTTAATAATAACAGAAATGTCTTCTATGCATCAAGATGCATTTTCTGATGTGCAAAAGTTTTATTTTATTTACTAGTGGCGTCCGTACGGCTTTTGCATTTACTACGCCACTGCTTTCTTTTCAAATAAAAATTATTTTTAAAATCCTCATTCATTTTTGAGCAAATTTGATCTTCTGGTTTTTCTTTGTCCGACGCATGGTTGCCGCTTAAAAAATTTAAATCGTTAGCAGTGGCGTAGTATTTTTGTCTACAAAAATATTCAATGCAAAAGCCGTACGGACTTAGGTACTGACAACATCTTTAACAGAAATAATTACATTTTTTCGACGGCACGTCCAGCCTCCACCATGACGAAAATCGATATTGATGTACATTTTATTAACTTCAGAAATTCAACAGCCTTAACCGCCTCCAGAATTCAGAAGAATTTAAAAAAAATTTAATTAACACCTGATGTAATTCATGAACTCTTATCTAGGTCGCAATTTGGGCTCGAATACAATACACAAAACTAACCATTTACAGATGACACAAGACTTATTCAACATTCATCAATTCAAAAGCTGAATGAAAAATAGCCACTCAAGGCCAGAAAACAGTACCACGCAACAAGCGATCACTAGAACAAATTAATTAAATGAAGTCTTAATTAGGTACCTTAAATTGTTAATAATCCATAATATCCGGTCCTAACTGCAAATCTCTTTATAGTTGACGCACAAACACACAAACACCAAACGATGATACTTCGAAACTAAATTCGTTTTAATTACAACTAGCGTATCGGCTCTTTGATGGTGGAAAGACTCCGTTTAAGTGATACTTGAAGACCGCAAAAAAGAGCACTTCGATTAAACTGCGCAAACGAAAAAACACGCGAATTCGCTTAACGCAACTTAACGTTTACTTTTAACACTCTCTAACTTTCTTTTACACAACTTTACAATTCAACAAAACGGACTGTCTTTTCAAAAAAGCTTCGATAACTGACTGACTGTTTTTGACAGAAATACGCCTAAATAGGGTTACGTTTCAACGCCCAACAAACCAAAAAGCTCGAAACTCACATCCGTCTCGCTTATTTAAAACATTAGTCCCTTTCCATATTTTCCCTCCTTCCCTAATTTTCTATGCGTCCTCCAGTAAATTAAGCTCCTGTATCAAAACGGCGGCGATAACACGTCCTTATATCTTGAAATTTAATTACCTCTCGCAGCGATAGCGAATTTCTTATCGCATAGACCGGAGATAACATTTTAAAAAAAGAATAAACTTAATCTTTTCACACAGGCGATTGTTTAAACAAAATTAACAACATTAACAGATTATTGTAAAAACTCTGCATTGCTAGCAGCATTACATCTTTATAATAGTGTGCATTTATGGAATAACACCATAGATATTTTTTATATGTCCCTAACAAAGTTTGCAAGATCGTGTGAGAATATTCAAGAACTGTAAAAAAAAATTTTCACAGCATTTTTTTTTATTTTTTCTCTTGTTTTCCTTTGTCTTTTTTTATTTTAATACTCTTAACATATTTTTTTATATTCCTTAATTATAATTTCGAATAGTTTTTTTTTTAATTAATACATGAACATTATTGGGGCAACCTGTTATGTTCATAGATAAAATAAATAAATAATTAAATAATTCCGAAACAAAATAAAATTAACCGTGAATTCAAATGGATTTGCATTCAATTTAAAAATTAACGACCACATTTACACGCAAAACTAATTGATTTTTATATACAGGATGACCCGTCAATACCATAGGTGCTGAAGTCAAATAATCTTACTTTCTAAGGGGCTAACATTATTTTCTACATGTTAAATACTTTTAAAGATCATTTAAAATGTTTAAATGCTCTTAAACTCTCATGAAACTTGTTGAAAGATGGGCTATTAAACGCCAATTAAAACTTTACACGTATTTCAGGCTTTTGGAAGGTTCTTAAAGACCCTTAAAAGCCTCTAAATGCTAGTAAACAGAAGCGTAAGCGAGAGCACTTGCATCTGTTCCTAGCTACACACTTGCTCGTTGTTTTGAAAAACTTTTAAAGACAAGTATTAACGCTTTTCAAAGGCTCCTAAGGAGCTGCAAAGACTCTTCAAAACTCTAAAAGCGAATTAAATGCTCTCAAAACCTATATAGGGTTTTTAGGTAGACCCTTGAAAACCGTTGGGAGAATACTAAAGGTTTTTGAAACTTTTAATTCCACATCTCTTTAAAATCGATATGTTAACTATCGTTGACGATTTGTTAAGGCCATTTAAAGCCTTAAAGCCTGTTAAAGACCACTAACGGGCTGTGAAAACCATTAAAAACTCTTAGGGAGGAAATACTTGGTCGCTCATGACCACCATATTAGAAAACTCTAGAAGGGTCTTCGGCATTGTTAAAGGCTAATAAATCGGAACAAATTTAAAGCCTGCAGGAAATTCTAGAGGCTCTTGGGGATTTTTGTTTGTTTGAAGGACCTTAACTGACTGAGACTTACAAGGTTTCAAAAGTGTTCAATCTCTTAAGAACTCTGAAGGATTCATAAACACCTTTAAATGTTTTTAAACGGTACCTACTTCGGTGGGAAAAGTCCAAAGGGGTCCTTTGGTTCCCCCTCGTATATGTATCGGGGTACACCATAATAAAACGGGCCAGATCGGTACTGTGGGGTGTTAGTTTCGATGATTTAGGCGTGTACATTTATTGCATTTAATAATAATAATAATAATAATAATAATAATAATAAGCCATTTATTGGACATATTTCCACCTCAATAATATACACAGTGGCCCAACGAGAAGTATACAGAGGGCTTTTAGGGTATTAGATTTAGAAATTTCGAAAAATCCTCGAACACGTCAATTTTGTATTCGAGGGGGACAACTTTTGGAATACAAATCCACGAACCCAAGTCTTCAACCCTCTACGTAGGGAGCTTAACCCCTCAAATTTTAAATGGAATCCTATGGCAAATGGCTCATTATTTGAAAGCTAATTTAATCGTGATTACTAATCTGCTTTGCTTTTTAAATTTTAACGTTCTTCTTCTTCTTCTTACGTTCTGGTTTTCACACCATAACCTCTATCGTCCTCATTCATTTAGAAGTGTCCAAGGGTTGAATGCGTAATGGCCGCTACCCAGCCCCCCCTCCCTACACCTTCTTTGGATCACCAATCACCAAGTGTTTACGCAAGGAAGAATACCAGTTAGTCAACAACAACATTAGGGGATACCAGCGTAATATAACATTCTTCTCCATAAGACAAATTGGAAAAATTGCGGTCTCTAAGGAAGGCAAGTGGCACCCTACACGGAAATGAGTTTGGCAGTCTGGTACCTTGTTTACTCAAAAATGGCTAGTGCCTTTTTGCCATCATTATTTTCCGATTCAGACATGTTCTACTTAACTAAAATGACAAAATTGAGGCGTTTTGATAGTGACACTATCGTCCTCAACTAAATAGACCAAAAAAGGTAACGTGAATTTCCTTTGCATAGGTACTCGTAGGTGATTGACATTTTCAATAAACTTACATTTTTTCGAAGAGTGCTCCTTCGCGTCCCCAAGGAAGGCCTTCGCTCCACGCTTCCGATCCGAATTCGAAATAGAAAACTGCGCCACCTGTCCAATGCACAGTTGTCTATCCACGCCAACACTTGCACTCGCGCCGTTCACATTTTCACCTTTCAAGCGATCACTATCTGTCGTCGGGTGGACGTCTTTCGACACTTCCGCTTTAACTTCCTCTCCTTGAGCCACTATCGCGTCCATTTTTGCGCGAAATCTGTAAGTAAAGCGCAAAATAAACTCGATTGCAGGAACGGAACTCTTTAATCCGGCGTAAACGTAGAGGTTAAAGTTAATGGTATGACCTGGCACGACCCCAGTATCTAAAAATGTTATAGTTTAAAATAACTGACACCTTTGAGCAGAAATAAAACATATATACATGTATTCGTTCTCACGCGAGCCAAAAATATATCTTGATACCCCGATGAACTTTTATCGTAGAAACGTGTAATACCTAAATGGTCCATGTGGAGGAAGTTGCGAGTGCATTGTAGTAATTGGAAGGTACGTTTAACATGCATACTTCCACTCATCCAGATTTTTACACCATAAAATCTTCGAATGGGATACGAGTACAATATGGTGGGTACCTCGACTCTAGCGCTATAGTTCCATTGGAAAATTAGCAGAGCGTCATATAATTTTGATTTGATTTCAACTCTAGTGGTGAAGTGGAAGAGGTTTCTCCTGGGTCAGTGCACCTGCTCAATAATCGTGTGTACAAAAATTATTTTTAAAATTGAAGGAAGTAGCTGACCAAGCCCTCCAAATAATCAGTACACTTTACAAAAAGGTTCATTGTCCAGTATCTTTTCTAAAAAAGCTTAATCGTAATGTGTCAGATGATAGGTTCACCTTTTAGAATACAGGTATTCCATTGATTTCGAGCAACCCACCAATCACCCACGAAAACCACCTGTATTGTAAACTAAAGCTTCTGTCCCACTCTGGATATGCATCCCTCAAATCGAAATGAGGGGTGTTTGGACACCAATTATTCAAATATAGTGATTGATATTAAAACTGCACACATTATCCCCTAAACAGGGTTAATAAAATTTGTACGTATATTTTTATTATGGTGGTATCTTGGCCAGGAAGTCCTCAAGAAAACTACCCCGAGGAATTTGCTCCCACAGCCCAAGCAAAATTCATTACCCAAAAACTCGACCATTAAGGAAGGTAAACTATTTGTACTCATTTTACTTGTAAATTATGATTCTCCAAAGCTCGACATTGTATTCTTCCAAAGTCGTGTTTTCCTGACGCCTAAACCATGTTTGAGAATTGACACTCTGCATGGTCCAAATGACCAGAAGATTATTTTCTTCCCTTTCATTTCCCAATACCGCATTATCAATGTATTTTTGCGGAGTCTAGGAAAGGAGAACAGGCCGGGCGATAACTGTGGATAAAGTTTTGTTTTGGGTTCAAACGAAAAACACACTCGAACCATTGATAACACACAGGTATTGATTGGTCGCATAATTACATACCAAATAATGACTGGGTAACTTTACTCAATTTGTAAGTAATTAAATCGGGCAATGTATACGAAACAACCTACATAGTAAGTACTGATAAGGAGCGTTCATGTTTACCTTTTTTCCTCGATTTTCCTTAGTAGATGTTCCTTACCCACACACGCGCGTCTGGCCCAAGTGCGTGCACTGTGCAATTAACGAAACGATTTAAATTAAAACGACTAAACAAAACCATAAACAATTTATCCAATGTTAATTGAGGGCAAACTTATCTACACTGCTAACCTCGAACACAATGCGTTGTAACTGGCAGGTAATAGGTAGTGGTCGCGACTCGGTGCTTATCACAGGTCACACCTTATCAGTAAAACCGTTCTGACACCAAACGTTGTATTACAAACGATCGTGTACCGAAAAAAAAAATGGTGTAATAACATGATAAACTACCTGCGCACTTTCCCATTATTTCTACAACAAAAGAGGGAATTAGGTCGAACCCTATTATTAACATTATCAAAATTTTAATTACGCGATTATTTCACTTTTTCTTTTTAAGGTCATTAATCGCGTAGTCCTCTTTGTAATGGTACCTACTCGTTTTCAAGCAGCACGTGGAGGAGCAAGTCTTCCCATTGGAAACCATTACACATCCACAGTTGTTCTCCACAATGTTCACCTCATCACCCATGTCAAGTTAGTTTTTTCGGTTGACCTAATTAACCAAAATTTGGGCGTCGTTGTTCCCTTACCCTTATTGCAGTCGATTGTTGGTCGTTTGGTGCTAGTGGCATTGCGGAATTTTCGGAGCATCTTTGTTGTGATCATTTTTTTGGTCGGTTGTTTCGCCTTTGTTGGTTGTTATGCAGGGCGGTCCATGAGCAAAGACCTGAAACGTCGTTTCTTAGTTTCACAATTTATAATATGAAAATACTACCCATCTCTAGCACCCCATCTGAATTGTATGCACCCCTCCGACAATTTTAGCTTACAAATGGATCGTGTGGTACCTTGTTTGAAAACAGCTCTATTTCCCTGTTTATCGATGTACCTATCCTTCTTCCATTGTCTTTACTACTGCGGTTGCATCCCTTGTTCACAAACCCCCTCGGAATCCAAGCTGATCTTCCTCCACTACCCCCTCATTATTCTCCCCAACTTCCTTTATTCCACACCACTCATTTGCTTTGTATAACTTTTCCATCTATTCTTATCCTCTGTTAACACCTTTCCGTCCTCACTTTCGATGCCAATAATTATCTTGGTTGGAGTTTTTCCTTTATCTCACACCGCGTTTCTTACTTTGTTGTACACGATTCGATCGAGCTCTTCTATAGCTTTGCATTCATTTATCCCTCGCTCTCATTATTTCCTCTGCCCTATTGTGCCGCTTATACTTCTTCCCTTCTTCCATCTTTCTATCATTTCAAATGATATCAATGGCTGCTTTGCTCTGCTTCCTATTCTATACTCCAACACCTTCTCAGTCACTTTGATTATCGCATTCTTCACGCGGTTCCGTTTGTCTTCTGTAGTTTCATAACTCTTCATGGCAACCTCACTTTTCATTTCAATTCCCATTGCCCTCCCTATATCAATCTCCCTTACTTTTACCAGAGCTCATTTCTTTACTCATTTTGCGACTTCAATCCTTTTTAATTTTATTTCCAACTCTGGCAACAAAAGAACGTGGTCACTATTAACATCTACACCTGGCAATCTACACGCATTTGTCTATCTCTCTTCAGTCATTAAGAAATCAATCTGATTTCGATATCTGTCTTTATGGGATTTCTAGGCCTAAAGTTTCCTTTTATGATGTTCGAACCAAGTGCTGGCTATGATCATCTTTCTTTACTTGAAGAATTGTATTACACGCCTACACATTAATTTAAAATATGAGACGCAGTTAGATCTGCTAATATAGCAAACTGGAGTGTTCTCGAGTGCTCCCGAATGTTCTCAATCATTCTAGAACAAAGCACATCATATTTCGCGGAAAGATTGCGTCTTGTCCGCCTACGTTCTTTATCGTTGAATATTAGGTAGTCTTTTATTGCGCCTCGATGTCTATCGAAATTTCTGGAATATTCGCTACAATACCTCTGTACCAACATTTCTAATCCATGGAAATATGGAGTTTTTAATTTGGTCTTCCTTTATGCCATTGCACAAACATTTCCGATTGGCAAAATGCGGGTGACTTCCAGGCTAGGGCCGTGTCAATGTTGAACGGAAAGTTAACGTTTCGCTCACTTTCGTAAGGGGCTTGATCAGAACAAGAAGAAACAAAATAACAATGAAGAATTTAAAAAAAAAAATTAAAAAATTGGATGTTTTGTAGTGTCTTAAACGACATACTAAAATAATACTGATGGATGGGGTGGAGATAACGGGTGGGGTTGTAAGGTCCATTTTTTTTTCGTTTTTCCGTTCTTGAGGTATAAGGGAATATACCCGATCACGATATGATGTCGAGGAGGAGGGCTATGGTTGGTAGAAATTAATTCCTTTCGTTGAGACCTTTTATTAGAGTACCATGAAGGATAAAACCAGTTCCACTCTCCCTCTTCCCCTCCTCCCCGTACTTTGATAAGAGGACAGAAAGAAGGGCAGTAGTTGGTAGAAAACGGTGCCTTTCGTTGAGACCTTTAATTATAATACAATGAGAGATAAAATTAATTTATGTAAAAGTTATGCACGTTTTACTTTCAAAAACAGCATCTCAGGAAATAATTCGTGGGGGGCCCTTTTAGACAGCGAAATTGCCGTATGGCACACCTTCAAGGTATGGGTTACCAAATGCGAAAAACTCTAGGACTCTAGGACCATTCCCTTAGAAGCAGTTCGCAGAAGTGGGTCCGGACGGACGGACGGACAAAACGCAAACAATAGCACTTTTTTTTAATTCTTAAAAAATACGCTAAAAAATCTTGTTTCGTTTCCTTTACAAAAAGAACTTTTATCCCCTGAAGGAGTATATTTTCGAAAATGTCGAAAAAATCCAAAAGATTCAAATCTCGTCAAATTTTTTAAAACAATTCTGCGATCACTCAAAAACTACTTGACCGATTTGGACCAAATTAATACCGTGTACGCGTGTAATGTCCTCTTTGAAATGACCGAAAATCCACCTTGTTTCCACAGAAGGTCCGCCCAATTTCAGCAGAAAATCAATGTTCGTACAGGTATTCTTGGAAATTAAGTTATTGGAGCGATTTTCCTAGAAGGAAATTTAGAAAACGAATTGTATCAGACGAACCTTTGATCAAAGAATCTTTGAGAGAGTCAAGTGGACAACAATAGCGACTTGCTGCTATAGGATGACAATTTGGACTTGCAGCAATAGGGGGCTACGCTTTTTTGTGCTAAATTATACTCAAAAGATGTCGGCGTTAAAATAAGTGTGAGAGTACTGCGAAGAACGTGAACAAAACATTAAATTGGGATAAAGGAGACTTGGCGGAAGGAGTCGTTAATCAGTTGCAGAAGACGTGATCGAAGAATGAAGAAAGAGGACGAAAATATATGAACTGAGAATGCTAAGCAAACGCAAGAGAAAAACTGGCCTGAAAAAAAGGAACACAAAGAGACGTATGAAAGAGGTGAGAAAGGTGTGATGGAAAAATGTGTGAAAAGGGAAGGCGAGGAAGAAGACCTGCGTGAAGACAGCAACCAAAGATAGCCACAGTTTCTCCGAAGATACCCGAATACCACAGAAATACAAAAAAAAATGTAGATTGCGACATTGATCCACCTTTACAAACAAGCAATGCGCGGGTAAACAGATGCAAAAATAATTTCTTGTAACCCCTTGCGTCACATAGATATCCACCCCCAAAGTGTTAATAAAATTAATACGGCAAAACGCGGGTAGTTATCATGTTCTAGTTTGGGCAGAAAAATACTACTATATATGTCCAATAAAAAGATGCAAAAATAATTTCTTGCAATCCCCTGCGTCACATAGAAATCCACCACCAATGTGTTTATAAATCGAACACGGCAAAAACGCGGGTAGTTATCACTTTTTAGTCTCTGCAGAAAAATACTGCTATACATATCCAATAAACAAATGCAAAAATAATTTCTTCTAACCCCTTGTGTCACATAGAAATTCACCCCCAATGTGTTTATAAATCGAATACGGCTAAACGTGGGTAGTTATCACTTTCTAGTTTGTGCAGAAAAATACTACTATACATATCCAATAAACATATGCAAATATAATTTCTTGCAACCCCTTGCGTCACATAGAAATCCACCCCCCAAGTATTTATAAAATTAATACGGCAAAACGCGGGTGGTTACCACTTTCTAGTTTGTCCAGAAAAATACTGCTATACATATCCAATAAACAGATGCAAAAAGAATTTCTTGCGACCCCCTGCGTCACATAGAAATCCACCCCCAATGTGATTATAAATCGAATACGACAAACGCATGTTTATAAAGGTGGGCGCAATCTTCGGAGAAACGTAGAATCTTTGGTTGCTGTTTTCACGCTGGTAGGAAGCAGTACTAATGGAAGAAACTTGACAGAGGTGATAATAGGAAGCGCAAAGAAAAGTGGCGTAAACGAGAGTGGCGTGGAGGGAAATAAATTAGAGGCCCTAGCAGAGGTGATAAAGTACGGGGGTGTATATGTAGTTTGGGATTGAAGACGTCATAAGGTGGTTTGCGAATGGAGGTGGTGTTCGTACAACATTTCTTAGTAAAGGACGATTATCAAGATGATCGGGTACTTATTGGTTCTGGCCAATTTGTAGGATAGTGCACAATTCAGTTAAATAATTAGTTGGGTTGAGGGGGAGTCTGTGGCAAAAAAAAACCTGAGAGGCTAACTTGTATGTTAGGATATGGAAAGAATCAAAGGGGAGTTTTTATAGACACTGATTGGCAGGCGTTAGTTTGATCGAGGAAATTGGGGGATATTACGACCAGATTCCATTTATATGGTCAATTTAGAAATAGGGTGGAGGGATACTAAAACAACTGTTTAAGGGCGAAGCAACAGAATAGATTCCTTCTGTGTATGCTGAGGGGTATTCCATACCCCCCAGACCCCCCGGTGCTACATTCTCTCCAAAAATATTCGCCCTTTGGACATCTCGTGTATGGAATATCTTTCAGAGAAGGAAAATTTAATGGCACACCCCATAAAAAAATAACTGTAGCTAGCGCACCCGCACACCTGCGCATGCGCGAATCTGCCCAAAGTCTTTGCACCTCGTCCTTTTATGTCTGAGAATATGTGTGCCAAATTTTCCGGAAAGGAGAGTACAGATAGACGCACCGACAGACCCCCAGACCGGCCTTACTAATATATGGGTGGTAATATTCAAGTTGATTGCTGTAAACCCCAGGAAAAAAAGGTAAATCTGATGACTATTTCCCAGCCCAACAACACTGTCATGGCAGTTTTGGGAAATCGGAATCGATCCCTCCTTTGGGGGCACGGGGGCGAATGAAGAGAAATAATCTTACTCGCAGATCTCAAAGCACAAAGAAAATCGTAACCCTCCAAAGGAATTGAATTGAAAGTTTGTGCATCCAGAACGGCGCCGAAATATTTAAACTGCCAATTTTTGCAAAAGCGCAAGACCACCCCCGTATAACGCACGCGTGCGACAAGAATCGACGAAATTAAATTGTAAACGTAAAACGTTCCATTGTGAATGAAACGATAACCATGATACAATCGTCCAGCTACGGCGCAAGTATTGATTATCGCGGTATCAAGTCGAAAGCCAGTCGAGATATAATCTGAGACGCAATAAGATAAAAAAGTGAATATGTGGGGCAAGAAGTAGCTTTGAGTATATTCGTGTGTATGAACAGTGATAAAATAATGAACGAGGAAGGCGAAGGTAAGGGACCAAGGAAGGAAACAATCGAGGGGAAGTTGAACGATGGATACACAATTCGGGTGCTGACATTGACGAGCGTTGTATTAATTGTATTGTGCTCGATTTTCTGTGCCCGTTCCTCGCCCGAGCGGGATGTTTTGTCACCATCGATTGATGAACAAAGGATCGCGCCCCCTCAAAGGAGAAAATTACGGGTGATGACGTCGCAGCCAAACTGCACGATGGAGGAGTACGTTTTGGATACCTTACGTGAGATATCGTCTGAGCTTTATTTACGGGCGGTTTCGTGCACGCCAGGGGATGTTAATGATTTGCTCAAGCACACGGTGCTCCACGCGAAGAGGCCGGCGGAAGAGACGCGTGGTAATTCCGTGATTTATATAGCCGTTGGGCTGCTGTTGACGTCGCTGGTGGTGGCCTTCCTCGATGTGTACAAGGTGAAAGGGAAGCCGTTGAAGAGCAAGCCGCAGCTGACGAAGAGGTGCTCGCTGGCCGACCTTACGGTGTTGAGGCACAGCAGGAGGGAGTCCATGAAAAAGGATTCGATGGTGGATGACCATCGCGTCCCGCTGAAGCTACTGGGTAGGAAAATGTCAAGGGCGCCTTTGCATTTAGATTAAGGTAGCGGTTTAATGCGATGATTGGTAAATGTTGTTCCAGACTGGGGAAGTGTGGGGGAGGGTAAATGTGTGTGGTTGTCTAGGAGATCGGCATGAAACTCCTGCATGCATCTACCTCACCAAGTGTATTTGTTTAGAATTCTTGTTTTATTACAGATCAAGCCCCTATACACGAATAAATCTGGATCCACTTGGGCCCACCTTACCAAATCGATGTCGAATATGCGTACCTTCACTGTATTTGTTGTTAGACTTGATGTTTTTATCTGTTATTTATGTATAAATAAACTATTTTTGGTAAACGAGTAGTTTTCATGCCATCTTCCGTAGACAACCTCGCCTTGTGTAACGTGAAAAATTAATACCTTCTTCTGCAGGTGCCAGACCTCCGCCTGACAACAGGAGATGTTCGGTACCAATTCAAGCCGGCGACGTAAGCTACGGAAACATCAGTCCTCGACGGGGTTCGAGGAAATGTTCCTTGGACGATGTCTGCCCCGACTACTCGTACACTCGAGTAAGGCTGATGAGGCGCTTTTAATTTCCACTCGCCGCTTTGGTGTTACAATAATTATCTTAGCAGCATTTATTTCACATATCGTGTGTAATTTTGTGATGGCAGCTTTTTGCAAAATTTTTTGAAACCTTTTTGAGCATTTTATACAAAAAAAATTTGTACCTGATATGTACCTACATTTTTTAAGTCTTAAAAAATGTTTAAACTTAATTTATTTATATACCTACGTGCATTAATTATAATAAATTATAAACAACTGTGCCCTACCCTGCAACCATCAAATGGAGATGTTTCCTTGGGTGCAGCGGTCTTTACTTTCAACATCATCCCAAAAATTCATTTTTGACGTTTTTCAGTTTATAACTCGCAAGATTTTGTGGTAAACATCTTCCCTATTTAATAAATGTATCGTGTGTTCGATTTTAGTTGAGACGGCAGTGTATCTCGGCTGTTTTTAAAGATAGAGACTTCGCGACCCTGTGTCACTTTTTTGTGAAACTTTTAATACCTCAAACAGAATCAATCTAACTACGTTTGTTTCAGAGATACAGGGTGAAAACAAAACTAGTTTGGCTTTTTTGGACGTTACCATATTTTACCACCCATGTATGATAGGAAAAAAGTAGAAACTTTATTTTAGATTTTTTACGTAGAATTTCTGAGATTTAACCCAAAGTTGATATTTTTTAAATGCAACACCCTGTATATCTTAAGGTAAATTGTTTTGCATTATTTTTCCTGATTACATTGATGCATCACAACCGATTCTTTTAGCCATGAATCAAAAATAAAAACCTTATTTTTTATGGCTTTTAAATAGTAGGCCTTGGGTTTATAGAGATTTTGTTTTGTTTATTGTATCCATGGCAGCCGATACCAATCAATAAAAAAGGCTCACGAGTGACGGTAGGTAAATGCCATTTCAAAATTTAAAAAATATGATATACATATATAATTATTTATATAGAAAATATAGGTATGTTGTGAGACATCAATGTAATCAGGAAAACAAATGCAAAAACAAATTTTTTTAACTACGCCACTGGATGCTAGATAAAAATACATGGGTGACATCCCAAAAAGACAAACTTTTCGTTTTCACCCTGTATCTCAGAAACAAACGTAAAGCTTGATTCTGTTTGTAATATTAGCAATTTCTCAAAAAAGTGGCACAAGGTCGCGAATCTCTATCTTTAAAAACAGCTGAGATACGCTGCAGTCTCAAAATAAATAAATAGGGCACAGCGTACACAAAATTTCTGACAAATTGTATCTCTAATAAGGTTTGGATGTCGTGGGAGGAGCTCTTGTTCTTGCCGAATATCGGATGACACATTAGCGACCAAGATATTAGAAATATAAAATGTATCACTCCCACGCCCAACTTTTCGGGAAGAGCGGATCTAAGGGTGCGCACAAATATCTACAAACATCTTCAATATTCGGAACGTAATGAAAAACAGTTTCAAGCTATTCAGAGCAAATGTAATACCAGCATAGTAGAAATTGATTACTTTTCCCGAAACCTACCATGCCAGTTGCTTTCAAAAAAGAGCTAGAGTCAACCTTTCCTGGTAGAATGGCCCCGCACCCGCCATTGTTACATTCCCTACCACTTAACGTTTTAGAAGGGATGAACCACCACCAGGAAGGGAATAATGGAATACCCCACCTTTCTCGAAAACTGCCGCCGGGAGTTTAGTTCGAGAAAGAGTCATAAAATATACCTTTCCGAGGAGGTATTCCATACCCCTCACAGCTCACACCCCCCGGTGTTACGTTTTTGCCAACAATTAACTTAATTTGTTAGCCCAGCACTGAATCAATCGCTCAGCCTTTCCCGAAAACTACCATTACGACCGCTTTCGAGAAATAGTCATCGGATTTACCTTCTATTCATTGCCGCGGGGGGGGGGGGTTATGGGCGTTTATGGGTGTTAATGTTAAGCAATTACACATGTTCAGGGATGGGCTAAAAAGGGCTTGAAGAATGTTTAAGATATCTATTCTGAAATATTCAAAGTATTTTTAAAGAGTTTTGATATGGTTAAGTGTTAGGGAGCTTGTGGAGCTGCAATTGTCCTTGAAGGATTGTATTTATCTTCTACAAAATTTTAAAGAATACTTAAAGCATTTGGAAGGCTATCAAGGTTTTTGATGTATTGCATTGCATGTTTCGCTATACACACCGACTTTGTGGTTCAATAGTAGAGCGTTGGGCTATAAAGCTGGAGGTAGGGTGTTCGAATCTGGATTGAGGTGAATTTTTCATCTGTGGCAGAGATGGGAATTACCTTAGACCAGTTTCGAGCATTCTCCGAATTAGGTTTTCCTGCAGTTTTCCTAATTCGTAAGGTAAATACCGGAGTAGTATAGAACAACTTAAGACCTTCTGCAGAGGCACCTCCAAAAAAGCGTTATGCGGGTCACTCTGTAATTATGCGCAAGCCTGTTGAGGGCCCAGAACAAGAAAGGAATAATAAATAAATAAATAGAAAATAAATATACGTATGTTAAAGTGTTCTAAGTCCTTTGGGAAGGGTTTTGAAAAGATTCAAAGAGTGTTAAGTATAGTCAACGTAGTGAAGTGTTAGGCACTAAACGGTATTTGGGTCTTAGAGGGCGTTACCTAAATAGTACCTACTAAAATCACTCAAGTAACTTGATGGGATATAACAAGATTTTAAGGCCCTTAAGTAGCAAAAATAGTAATAATTTTGGAGGATATCCATGATTTTTGAAAGATACTAAAAGAGAGTGAAGGAAATGCAATATATTGGATAGCCTTGATGAAATTTAAAGTAGAGCTAAACTGAGGATGCCTGAAAAAGTCTTGTGGTTGAAAGTATTAAAGAGCGTTGAAGGGCCTTGTCGTTTTGAAATGTACTAATAAAGGTTGTAACTTAAAGGCGAATATAAATTATAGCCTTTGAATTAACTATTGGTCTGGGTGAGAAAAAAACTTCTAAGAAGGTTTTGAAAGAGATTTCTATAAGTCCCAATAAATCACCACAGTTTCTTGTTAGATTCATTAGGATCTGTTTCAAAACTTTAGAAAGACTTGTAGGAATATTTCTAAGAAAATTTCAAAGGAGACTTTCACGATTTCTATATACATTCTTACGAAAATTTCATAGGAAGACTTCTAAACAGGTTTCGAAATAGATTTCTACGAAAAAGTGTTTAGGACTATTTTCATCTAGAATTTCAGGATCGATTCTAAAGGTCTCTAAGGATGCTTTTAAATGATGCTTTGTATAACTTCTAGAAATACTTCGTCCAAAACCTTTTGCATTTCTTGCAGTTTACACTTTCTTCATTTTCATAATTTCAGGCTCCAGTGGTTTCCTGCCGTTTATTTAATGTTCCTTTCGTATTGTTTGAATTGTTGAACTTCTTTCGCTCTTTCGGATTTTTTCAAATTTTCATTTTCAAATTCTGTGTATTTTTCAATTACCTCTCATCTACATATTCAAATTCAGATTCGTCGGATTTTTTTATTCCTTCGAATGGTTTAGATTTAAATTTATTTGGTTTTTTTCAGATTTTTTAACCTGTTCGCATTTTTTCATGTGTTTCAGGTTCTTCGTTTCTGGGACCCTTCTTGGAAGCTTCGGATTCACCCGATTATTTGTTTTTATTCTTTATGTTCTTCCGTTTCTTAGGATTATTTGAAATCTTTTTACTTAGTCATGATTTTTCGCAATTTTTTCAATTCTTTGTTTTGTATTAATTCTTTTCTAGTGATTTATTCGTGTTTCTTCGGTTCCTTCTATTAAGATTCGTTAAAATCTCAGATTTCATCGGAAACTTGAACTTATAGCGTCTTGATGCTTCTTAAAGGGATTTTCAGAAGAATCTATGGGTGAATCGCCTTTAGAAGTAGAAGTAGGTAGGTATACCTTGAGAAATCTTGAAATGTATTCGACTGTCTTGAATTTGGCAATAAAACTGGTAGGTACAGACTTACAGAGTGACTCTATAGCGACAGTATTATAGCCAAACGGTGAACAATAAATAAATTTGGAAGCCAAGGTGATGAAGTCCTGAAAACAACTCTGGCAATAACATTGTAACCATACCAAAATCTACCAATTCGGTTAAACCGATCACCTCAATGAGAAATCTGGAAAAAAATGGCGAACATGAAGCATATGGCCACATTGTCCATATACAGTCTACTCCGTATACTTACATCGATACTCTTGCGCAAAATTATCGCCAGAATACGTCAAATTTGAATAGGGTTTACCCCTTTTACGTCAGGAAACGACTTAATTTGTTCATAGAATAAAAAAGAACGATAACAACAACAAATTCGTCCTTTCTTACTGAAAATAATCAGTATATTAATTAAAATGTATAAACTAATCAACCAAAGGCACAACTACAGGATATCTTCAAAACTAAAGATCCCTGAACAAAAATGGATTACAAGTTCGGCGAATTTTTGACACTTTGGTCTTTTAGCTTTCAATAATTTTTACTTTTCGCATAAATCGCATGGAGACAATTGTTGATCTGGCGAAGAAAAACCAATACTGTAATTTATTTAAGTAACTCATAAATAAATTATTGAAACGACTAACGCCATTAATGGGTAAATGGCCGTTAAGCGGGAACACTCGGAACTATTGCAGAGAGGTTCCTCGCATCGTTTGCAAATACTGTACTTGTCGCAGTATTCCTCTCTATAGCAATCTCTTGTCAAGCGTTGAATGCCACCTACAAAAGTGAGATTCATTCTTTAAACTGTAAACTGTAATTAAATACCTTTGGCTGGAAGTTTTACGGTTAAACATGCCCTTTTGGTACACAATACCTTTTGGAAGCTGTCTTTGTAGTCGACTTTCCAGCACTCTTGACTGTCGTCAGATGTACACTTATAGCACCTAAACGCGTGGCCTAAAAAATATCATCCACCAAGCAAACGAATTTACTTACCTACCTACTTACCAAAACCGAATAAAGCCAGACAGTACAAGATCTGCATAGGGTACATCCTCAGTTCGAACCTTTATCTGCTTCTGAAGTTCATTTCTGGTTTTAAATTGCATATCAGATATTAGAGTAATTTTAGCAATTACTCCCATTGTTCAAAATTTCAATGTCGGAACGTTTGTTCTGCTTCGATACCTGCACATTATATTATTCCTTGAGGATCGCTTATTATGTTTGTAGTTTTTCTGTTGTGAAATTTGCGCCTAAATGAACCCCAAACAACTCAATTTAATGGATTTATATCAGGCCTATTATAACTGGTAGACGATTTCGGGAAACTATTTGTTTAGGATCTTAGTCCCTGAATTGAAGATAAGACGTACAGGGTTGGCCTGCGGAACAGACGGACGGACAAAGTGCCTACGGTAACTACTTTTTTTCACCTTCTGTCAAAATGTCGTCTTCGTTTAAGTTTCAAGGGATTATGCAAGACCTTTCGATGTCTTAAGTGACGGCCGATAATGACCTTATAAGAGTACCCAGCAATCATGCATATAAATAATATACAGGGTGACAATTTGAAAACTTACCACCCCCCATATCTTAGTAAGTAAACGAGATATTTAAAAAAATCAAAATCCGTTTCGGTAATTCGGAGGGGGAATCACAATGACATAGTTGGCGACGCACCCCCTCACACCCCCTGCGCCCCAGCCACCCCAACTTTAAATCTTAAATAGTGACCCCCCATGTGTGATACGTCGTTGGAAAGCTCTGAAAAAATGCTTTCCAACCATACCAAATAGCATTACATTTAGGTTAGTAATTATCGTGCAAATCAACAAATAAACTAATATGATACATTTGAAATCTGTCGTATTTAAAACGGTTTGACCGATTTTAACAAATTTGGTAACGTTGCTAAGAGCATTCCTTGGGCAATAAGAATCAACTAAATATAGTTAATTTAATTGAATTTTTCTCCGCCATGGGGTTAGTTTTGACACCATGACCCAAATCCTAAAAAAATAAAAAAAATCAAATGGAATGACATGAATTTTTCTTTATGAAAAAGTAGCCAAACAACATCCAAAGAGGCCAGTGAAAATCGTTTTCCAAAATCTCGTTCCTAACCTCAAATATTGCGAAAATCACATTAATTAATTAATTCAAATGCTTAAATTGTATCTTAAATTTACTTTTGACGTATTTCCAGTATTTGCCGATGGCGAGAAAGTTTGTTTGGAAAAGCACCCTACACTTTTAGGTAGGCCTTGGAAAATTAAACAAATGAAACACGATGCATTATAAAATAATAGCAGCCGTAATTTGTAAATTACTCTGCTGTGTTTACATTCAGAAAGTGCAGTTTTTTGAATTTGTAATCTTTTCTAAAATTCCGATTTCTGCGATCGGCAATCAAACTTACATAATATGCACTTTGGGGGCCAAAGCCCCAGATCATATCATAAAAAGAGTTCAGTAAATTAATATACCCTCGATTATACCTATATTAAAGTGACTTAATAAGTTCAGGATGCGTTTAGTCCCTTTGAAGCAATATGGATGTTCTGATGATACATATACCTATATTTTTTAATGATTTATATTTTTTAGACTCACAATTTCCTCTTTAACATCTTATTCATTTGGTAGCTAAATTTTTAGTAGTTTTAGGAAATTTACCGCGCGATCCTTGGCCTTCAAAGATCCATAACTCATTTTCCCAAAATGTGAGGTTAGGAACAAGATTTTGAAAAACGGTTTTCACTGGCTTCTTTGGATGTTATTTTGCCTAAAGAAAAAGTCATATCATTCCATTTGATTTTTTTAGGATTTGGGTCATGGTGTCAAAACTAGCCCCCTGTCGGAGAAGGATTCAACTAAATTAACTATATTTTAGTTGATTTATTTATTTATTATCTCTCTCTTGTTCTGGGCCCTCAACAGGCTCGCGCCCAATTACAGAGCGACCCGCATAATGCTTTTTAGAGGTGCCTCTGCAGAAGGTCTTAAGTTGTTCTATACTACTCCGGTATTTACCTTACGAATTAGGAAAACTGCAGGAAAACCTAATTCGGAGTAGCCGGAAGAATGGTCGAAACTGATCTAAGGTAATTCCCATCTCTGCCACAGATGAAAAATTCACCTCAACCCAGGTTCGAACACCCGACCTCCGGGTGTAAGTCCAGCGCTCTACCACTGAACCATAAAGCCGGTCGATTAATGATTAATTCTTATTGCCCAAGGAATGCCCTTTTCTCCGATACCAAATTTATTAAAATCGGTCAAACCTTTAAAAAGTTAAAGCAGTAAATTAAATAAAAATAAACGTTATAACAAATTCGATTTATTTACTAGTCTTCTCATAACGTTTTCAACAATGGAGAGTTTGATAAAAAATAAGTTAAAGCAGGATATTGCAAAAACAATTGAACGCCCCCACGAACTTATTTATAAGTTCGTGAACGCCCCACACCATCTTTGTTTTTGAAATAACTGAGTTTTTTACGAAAATGATAGATAAACTGGTTCTCTTTAAAAATGCGAAAAAAATTTTTAGTTTATTATGCGAAATTTAAAGAAAATGCAGGTGTAACATTTAAGATGGCAGTTACGTCCTCTGGTGGTCATTTTTAGAACTTGAAAATATGTTCCAGCGATTCTTCATGACCGATTTACCCAATAATTTTTTTTACCCCTAAGTCATACGATGAACGGTTCCCGAGATAAGACCGAGGAACAGTCTTATTGAGTCACCAGATACATTGTGGTCCAATAGTTACAATGAATATTCCTTGATTATTGTCCAAATGATCGAATATTTAGTATAATAAAAGAATTTTCCGGGAATAATTGAACAGATTATCCATAGAAAAATTAATATAAATATTCTTTAAATATTTTATAAATAATTGAATATTTTAAGAATATTCAGTAGGTATAAGTACCGAGAGAATATTCCAAGAAGAATTTATGTTATCTGGGTCTACACTTTTACATGTTTAAGTTAATAGCGCATGCGCAATTGTGCACACATTTCCGAACGAAACATTTATGGAAAGTACAGTGTCAGTTTTGTATAAATAAATGTGATTACAATACATATTATATACCTACCAGTGGTGAAGTGCTTCCTATTTTAGTTTTTGGCTGCTACCCAATTGCATATGTAAGTAGAAACACTATATTTGATTAAAATGAGCATGCACTTAACCTTACTTTTTGCGCTTGCATGTACGATTCTTTTTAACACAATCCATATGCGCAAAAATACATCTCATAATCATTTGTTAGGTAATTTTGGACCATAGGTACACAGCAAAACAAAATAAAGAGAAACAGAAAAGTCAATGACCCCAATTTTGTAATGTCATTTTATTTTCAAGGTCATCAAAGTTCAATAAACTTTTCGGGATCTTCTGTGACGTCATTTTAATATTATCAGTTCAATGACCTTCAGAGTTTTGCGGTATAGTATTCCATTTTCAATTTCATCAGAGGTTAATAACCCTATTTTAGTGGTGTCATATTTCTTGTCAAAGTTCAAAATAAAATTTGGTAATCCATCGAGTTTGAAGAAAATCATTTATTAGAAAATGTTTACAAATAACCGAATAAAAATCGCAAACGCCACAGTTTCCGCACTTTTTCTTTTATATTTATTGCGCTAGGGGCATTCTTTCCCTCCCGTACGCGGGTAAATCAGATCCTACAAGTCCAAACCACAAGTCCATGCTAAGAGTCATAGGCGCCGACTGCGGCGGGGCACAGGGACATGTGCCCCGGCTGGAACAATTTAGGGGAGGTAATGCAACCCCTCGAAATTTCATATACTTTAATAAGTAAAAACAACAAAAAGGTAGAGTACAAGCCTCTGATTTTCGTTGTCTTGTACGGGTTTATTCGATTGAGGATGAATTGAGAGTATTTTTACACTTTATTTCTTTCCTTCTTGAGAAATGTTAAGTTTGAACTGCTCGTAGTTAGGTATATTTACTTATTATGTACATATAACATAAGTATGAGATTAAGTAAATTTTTGAAAATACAGAAATATAAATTATCTTTGCGTAAAGTTTTTAGTAGAAACGGTTGTGCCCCCCCCCCTGGAATTTTCAAAAGTCGGCAACTTTGCTAAGAGTTCGTTTGTTTCATCTGGCCTGCTAGTCGCATTCGATTAATAAATAAGTAAAATACAGCATTTATTGAGATGGTACAACACAATCAAATTTGCCTGTATAAAAATATATTCAAAATAAAATCTGGAATGATAAGACAAAATGCAGCATTAATTACTACTCACTATATAAACAAATTAAAAAAGACAATACAATATTTTAAAAAACCTTGTTTAAAAGATATCACATAAATTAATTTACAAACGCGTTAGTCCGCCGGGACCTTCCAATTCAAGGACTTTCCGCGTTCGTATAGCTCGCTGAGCGCCTCTGCCAATTTGGAGTCTGCCTCTAAAGCTTTATAACGCCTATATAACTGTAAGGCTGCGCGCGCATCTTCGATTGAGTCGTGAGTTTCCGACTGGATCTTCATACCTGAATTTAGAGTAAAACAATGTTATACATTCATGAAAATTTAAATAATAAACCTCTTGAGGATTTGGGGGTTAGTATCATCAACAATCATAGTGTTAACGTGCACCTACCTAAAAAATGCCAAGCCAAGAAACGTAAAGACACCATCCGGTGATGAGGTATGTGAAACAAAAAAACTGTATCGACCACCTGCTCCGGTGGAACGACGAGATTAATCACGCTAAAAGTTTTCCATGAGTGACAATCGCCAAGTGTGTGAATTTTACCGAAAATCGTTCTTCAGCCCGTGACCGACGAACACGACGCCACTGTCCTGCAAGAAACGAAGCTTGGTGTACGTAGACTTCAATGTCGTCAGATGCTTCGAACTGAAATTGGCGTCTAAATCTCCCGGTTTGATTCCCGAAAACTTGGTTAAGTAGTCGACCACCTGTTCCTGCGTCGAAATGTAATCGTCAATGAACGGGGTGCCCTCCAAGGAACCTTGCCTAAAGCAAAACTGGTGTGAGTGAGGAAGACGAAGTTGCGCTAAAACTAACCCGCGTATGCACGTTATCCGCGCGACGGACATTTGCGACGGTTTGATCGTCGACATTTTTCCATCGCTGCGCAACTCGGACTCTTCCTGGTTTAGCGTCACGAATTCGGCGTCCATGGCGACGAGCTCGCCGGGTTTCGGCATTTCGGACTGCGCGAGCGGGGTGAACGTGACGCCGCGCGTTCCTCCGCTTCGCGCGATGCACTGGTCTTGAGTGAAGACGTCCTGCAAATGATACACAATTTATATGCCAAAAATACAATGAGCCAAGGTAGAACAGTTGCCCGCGGCCTGAGGAGTCCATAAACAGCCACGACTAAAGTAGTTTTCTTTATTTACATCCAGGGGCGGACTGGGTACTTACAGGCCAGATGGAATTGCATAGGTTACGGGCCATTAAAGTATTAGTGTAATGACTATTGCGGGGGGGGGGGGGGGGGCTCTTCGGTGCACCACAAAATCATTTTTTGCTTCATTTTAAAGTATTCTTTTCTCGAAAATCAATTAGAATATACATTTTTTAATTGCAGCTGATAATTAAAAGTAATAAAATATACATAATCCAAACGAGGCGCGTCGCCTATAACTGTGTTTCAGCACTTTCAAAATACGACAAAAAATGATAAATTCATTTGTCAAACACTTAAATAAACACATAATTTTATAATGAACAACCTAACTTCAACCCCAATGAGAGAAACGTGTTAATAATGTAACGTGATTTATAAATTCGGGTTCGATTTATATCAATATTTATTAAACAAAACTAAAACAGTATAAAAACTGTACAATTTATATCGACTATTTATATCACACACTTCGCAATTTATATTTCCGCGCTCGATGTTTCATCCGTACTCGATCTCGTTCGGTAGTAAACTGCCTGCGATGTTCGGTCCGCAACCATTTATACACGCAAGCAATGTAAGTCCAGAACACTCGCGTAATTACTAGATTCGTCGCAAACATTCCCACTATCGCGCGCCTAGAAAATTCCAGAGCGCCAAAGGCGACGTCACGTCTGGAGCGTTTCCGTAACAATATTTTATTAAGAGTGCAAGAAACTTACATTAATGCTGTCTAATTCAGCACATACTTATAAATTTCCAACGGGCCATAATGACCTACAGACCAGGTGACAATCGCCACCCGCCCCCCCCCCCCCGGGCCAGTCCGCCCCTGTTTACATCGCTCCAGAGTAATCGTAATGCAACCGATAGATCATATTTGATAATTTGCCTATGGTGCTTTGGGCTCAGATAAATCAGTACCTTGCTAGAGTTATAATTGTCGTGATAAATCATAAAAATTGTGCGGATTTTCTTAACCCACAGAAGGGGATGTAATTTTTTTTAATTAAAGAACGTGTATACGGCAAGAGAGGTGCACAGTTTTGATTAAAAAACTTATATTTCAATTATCTAAGCACTCCAAATATATCCGCAATGGACGTTTTTCTCCTTGGATCGCAACGCTTTCGTGGTAATAAAATTTATTTTTATGCGAATACGTTAATGCGATAATACAACGAAACGATTATTGTTCGCTTACGCTTTAAAAAGTAACACCTTGCACCATCAATAATTAAAAATTGTATAAGCCGGCAGGTCGACTCCGCTACGCAGTTAAGTTCCTCTTTTTTCATAAACCAGCCACCAGGACAATTTTGTCGAAACTGGTGGCACAAACCTCCCGGTTGTGCGGATAATGATTACTTTTATATTATGCGGTTATACGACTTTCGTTCGAACTCTTAATTGAAAAAAAAATCTTCACGCGGTCTCCAAAAAATGCCTCGCACAACTCACAAGATTCGCCTTGAAAGCTTGGGAAGAATTTCGTGTTACGCGATTTAGAAATTTCCGCGCTTACGTTACGTAGTTTCACCTCGAAAGTTTGGCTAAGAATCTTTCTCTCCCACCCGATTTTTACTTACGTGCTCACCGAATTAAAAAACCGAAACGGCCGCACCAAAAACCACTCTGCTTCTTTATACAGGTGAAGGTATAACAGAAACACTGTCCCCATTCTCCGTCAAGACGGTTTTTGAACCGGCAACACCGTAGCTGTAGCTTGAACACTCATTTCTTATATTAACGCGCTTACCTCGCATATTAGTTCCGTTCTCTTTCTGTATGAAGCGGTACACACACAAAATTTCCTATACCGGCAAATTTGTACATTTTTAATGAAAACCACGTGAGAATAACTTGAGAAGAGAATTCTAGAAGAACTTAAGAAATGCTCGCTTAAGAGTAGGGAACATAAAGAGGAAAGAACTTTAGTTTTGCCTTTATTTTTGAGTGGGAGGGGTTCAGCCAAGACTGTTCAACCAACCCAACCCTCCATACATTAACAAATATCTATGCCGGAACCCGGATTTGAACCAGGGACCCGGCCTTGAGAAGTACCCGAGAAGAAAAATTTTAAAAGCCCCTCAAGAGAAAATTGGGGAGAACTTGAAAAACAAGAAATTGAGAGAACGTGAATTTGAATTTGAAAAAAAAACATAAGAATTTGGGATTGGGAAGTACACGTGAAGATAATTTGAAAAGGAACTTGAAGAAATAAGTGGTTCAGCGTGCAGGGTAAGGTTGTGAAGGCGTCGACGAAGGTGCAGGAGCTAAAATTGCAATTGTATGGATATGTGTTGAACAGAGATGAAGAGCATGTCAGTATTGAGAACGATGATGGCTCGGCGGAATACTTAGAAGATACATAGACTGTATTGCTATGCGCCCCACGTTGGCCGCCAAATAAGAATGCTGTGTGCAAACGTCCATCATCAAAGAAACCTGTTTTTCGTTATCTTCCCGTACTGTACTTATGGATCTTCTTTCCCCCACCTCAAAAATCTCCGTTAGAATTTCAAAACCAAATTTGATTAACGCCAGGTTCAAAATAAACTGCACACCTGCTTTTTGCTTATCACCCATAACACGTGTTTATCTTGATACTAATTAAATTTCACCTCACACAACGCGATAACGAAGGTTCTTATCGCAATGGCCAGATAAACCTTTAATAAAATTCTGCAAATATGACCAGATGGCAAACACTTCTTAACTTTATATAAATTAATCACTTAGAAAAGCGATTAATTTAAACAAAACATTTAACAATTCTTATAAAAAACAAGGTTGAACTTCAAATTTAAATAAAAAGAACGAACTCCGTTTTGCAAAACCAGCAAAACTTTATTTGATATTCTACACACAAGGTGACCCATTATTATTATAGGTACCGAGCCCAAACAAAACGTCCGCATAACGTTGTTTACACAACATTTCCCCCCTTAAATTGAAACACAAAATCATAATTACATAAAAACCCCCCTAGCAAAACCATTGGATTATAGATTTTTGGCGAATTTTCCTTTTTCCTAACCTCTACAATCACTCTCTGCTGCTTCTGAACATAAACTTCTTCTTCCTCTTGAATCTGCAGTTTACCTTCAACCGCTTGCTGCTCTTCCACAACTTCTTCCTCTTCTTCATTTTTATGTTTAATACCTTCTTTATTTGTCATGTATGTAAGCATTATTTCCATTGTTTGAATCAACAGGCTTCTCTACCACCATGACCAGTTCCACTTCAACGTTCAGGAGGGTGGTTTCAACCACTCTATCACATTCCACATGCTGTGATTTATCACCCTTTTCCGGTGCCTTAATCGTAACAGGGTATTTGGCAACCTTCTCAACAAATGGGCTCAAATAAAAATTCTATGCGCTCCACGTTGGGCGCCTAATAAAAATGCTGTGTGCAATTGCACTTTTCAAATGTGCACCACCAAAGAAGCCTCGTTATCTACAGTGAAGCTTCGAAATAAACTGCACATCTGTTGTTTTCTTATCGGCGATAACACGTGCTTATCTTGAAACTAATTAAATTTCACCTTACGCAATGCCATAACAAATGTTCTTATTGCAATGGCGAGATAAACCTTTTAATAAAACGCGCAAAAATGACCAAATGGCAAACATTGTCTAAATTAATCAATTACAAAAACCATAAATTTAAACAAAACTTAAACATTATTTAACAATTCTTATACAAAACAACGTTGAAATTTTCCACTTAAGCACTTGATATTCCACATATAGGGTGACCTATTGTTATAGGTGCCGAGCAAAACGTCTGCATGACCTTGTTTACACAACATTTCCCCCCTTAAATTGAAGCAAAAAATCATAATGACAAAAAAACCCTTGAAAACCAGCAAAACCATTGGAATTATGGATTTTTGATCAATTTACCCACTGCTTTTCCTTTAATATGCCGGAATTTGCCTTCAACCGTCGGACACAGTCGCCTAAAAACAAATCCCTAATCATAACAAGATCTCGCAATATACCATTCACCATCCGTGCCAGAGAAAAAATGCCCGGATTTTAAATAAAAATAACGCCCCCGTAATTTGTCCGCCTCCTATCTCTCTTATTCTTTCAAGCGAAGACAATCCTGTATCTTCTTTCATTCGGTTAACCAAAATCTCCGTGTTTACTTCAAAACCAGCGACCAAATTTACACTTAAAAAAATGTGATATTCCACACAGGGTGACCCATTTTTATGATAAGAAACGCGAGGGACGGGACTGAGTGGAGGAAGACTGCAAAAAAACAGAAATCCCTAAATGATAGGGAAAAGTCCCTCTTTTCCTGTTTCCGTCAACAACAGTAAATATTGGCCGGGGGCGTAAAAGTAGCTTTTCGTGCCGCATGCGCATAAAATTTGCGTAGTTTTATTTTCGTTAAATTGGTCACAATTATAACAAGTAGGTATAGTACTTCAATAATGGCCAACTTACTAACCTTTGTAAGTCCGGAGACGATGTCACTACGCACATCCGTAACCTCCTTAGTCGAATAATACAAGACGCACGGAACCTTCCAATCCAAACTGAACCACACCACCTCCTGAGGCGGAATCGGATAGATGCTAAAATCGTTAAACAAAAACCACTGCTGAACGTCGACCTTCGCGTCCTTGCCATCGGCGAGATACGTTTCGGGCACCTTGATTAGCGCCACCAGGTTTTGCTTTTCGGAGGAGATTTGATCGTTGACGAAGCAGACGACGGCGGTCAAGGTGTACTCCCTGGAATCTGTAATGTCGGTTTTAATCTGGTCCCCGCCGCCGCCTTGGGCTTGCTCTTTCTAGACGACAAAGTTAATTATGAAAATGGCTAGTCATCGCTCGTTCTTACCTCGCGGTCTAAATTTGCGATTAGCAGATTTTGACCTTTTAGCGTAATTCGTATTTGGTGAGGTAGCCAGTTGTTGCTGCAGTATAAGTTATTGACAGGCGCTTGAGGTACGGTCGCATTGTCGAAGCTATGCCTGAAACGACAACCGGGCCTGGAGCAGTTGTCGCCGTATCGGCACGGTTTCGACGAGGTCACCAGTAGGTTGGGGGTTGTCGAGCGTGCACTCTCATTGTTGATTACCTTGGCCACCACCTTATCCATTTGGTTTTGCCAGAACTGTTTGTGCTGTGGATTATGGAGGCCTGTGTTAACGGAGAGAAGTTTCGGAAGCGCTTGCAGAATTCTGGCCTGGGAGGTCGGGGTGAATTTAGTACACTGGTCGCACCAGGCGGGTGTGGTTTGCTGTGGACACAGTGAGCGCTTTAGAATGTCGCAAAATGACCACTCGTCCTTTTCCGGTTCGTTTGTGGGGTAGATCAGGTTACACGCCAGCAGAAACGTCTCCTTTCGTACCTGGAAGAAAGAACGTAAAATGCTACTTTCGTATCATTTCTACCTCAAATCCGCATTTGAGGCAGCAATTCATCTGCAACTGCTTAGTGCCGAAAAGTTGACTGATCTCGCTCTCTTCTTCTTGCTTTTCCTCTTCAATTTTGGTAACATCTAAAAAAAGGCGAGTGAAAATGCCCTGAGTGCAGCTTTCTTGTGTACCTGTGGTTCTCTTTCCTTGGCTACCCATGATCGTCGGAAAATCGGTTTCCTTGTAAATGAAAGGTTTCTTATTGGTCTTATTCTCCTCCTTTCTTTTCTTGGTCTCGAGCAGCTCAACGTGCATTTGGTGCAAGATGAAGCGATTCCAATTCTATAATTTGGCAAGAAGAAAAACGCGATTCTGAGAGGAAATACGCTACTTGTATAAGTCCTCCTAGATCCAACTTTTGCTTCGCCTCGGGATTGAGATCGCTGACGATTAGGCCGAGCGCGGATGCTTCGGGCACAGTTCGAAAGGCTCGAAGGAAGTTTCCGGGCTGACAGGGCGTGCCTTGGGAAGTTAAAAGCATGTGAAACAAAAAACCGAGCTCGCACGACAGACAGAACTCTTTTATGCACAAGTGCGACAGCAGCGATGCGCGTAAAGGCTCAGTATAGTACAGCACCTAGGAAGAAATGTACCTTAAGATCAAAAGCACGGTCTGTTCTACCTGAATCATGGTATTGCAGTAAGAATTGGGTAAAGTTGCCTCCAAACCCGGAAGCGAGGTCTTATTAAACTGATCGAATTGCATTTCCTCGTTTCCTAGTTTGGTGTACTTTAAATCGACCTTTCGATATCGCTTCGGTATCGCCACAAAGTTACCACCTTCGTCCGCCAATTGCTTAATGGTCCGATTTTCTTGGGTGCTTTTGGTCAACGTTCTAGAACCATTCGTTTCTAAATTGTACGCCACCTGGAAGAACACTTATAAGCGAGGCCGATGCCCGAAAATCCAAAAAACCTAAGCTGAGATAACAAAAAACGTTTATTTAACAATAATACACAAAAAGCTACAACAGCCATAAATTCAGTCTTGATTTTGCAACAAAAGTAAACTAAAAATGAATACTGCAATACATCACGAAACCTACAAGCTACAAATCAGAAAGCATCCACACGGTGAAACCCTACCAGTACTGCAATGCGTTACGTTCCGTCTACTTCAATAAAAGTAGACAGAAGGTAATTTATTAGATCTCACTTGATTACGCCTAGTCGCCTTGGGGTTGGGAGCGTATCCGATAGGTCCCTGCATCTTCATCGCGCGCAATATTTCCGGATCAATCGGTTGCGACTTGCTGAAAAACGAAACGTGTGGAAGTGGCACGGATCGATCGGCTTACCGATAGCACTTCTGCATGAGATGCTCGGGCCAGTCGGACGCGAGCGGCATGTCCGTGTTGATGATCGGCAGTGGGACGATCGAAAGCGGCGTTTCGTAATCGTCGATCGCGAAACTGGGAAAGTGAGTAACCGGATCGGCGTGCTCGGTTATGCGCGAGTAGGTGTTGAAAACCGGATCACTGGTCGCGGAGAACAGGTGAATCGAACCGGCGTTGTCGCCAAACGCCAGCGCTTGGCTTGTCGAGCACGTGTCGAACGCAAGACACATCGCACCTGTAACGTAACCATGGCGCACAGGCGATCAGCCGTAACCTTACGCATACCAGGGTTCTCCATCTGAAGTAGACATAGTCTGGGCTCGGATAGTGCGACGGTGTCGACAAGCTGCGCCTGACCTATCGCAGACACCACGGCGAGTCTCGATGAAAGCGACGGTAGGAAACGAAGATAGAGGGGATCCAAAACTGTTTGTATGGGTGAAACAGCTCGCATCATTCGTAGATCGTATACCATCAAAAAACGATCCACTGATAGGTTTCCTTGCCTAGAAAACGACTATCGTTACTCGATTAGATCCCAGGACCCAGTGTATGCAGAAACCTCAAACGAAACGAAATCCATTTCGTACAAAAACCAACCAAAAATATGTATTTTGGAAAAAACTGACTACGTCACTGGAGTCTAAATTGAAAATTTGCTGTGGCTAGCACAGATCCCACCCGCAATTTTTTACCCCAACGCAACACCACTTTATTACTAAGTACGTGAGGGTGGGAAAAACTATCAAGAGCAGTACCTTTTCGATAAGTTTAGGCCAAAAACTAATCATTTTAGAAGCGCCCTGCAGAACAAACACTAAGATTATTTGACATAGATTTCTTTTGTTTTGAGTGGTTCGCAATGCACATCATGAAAATGGACACTTCTCGCAAATGTTTTGCCGATAATGGAAGACTTCAAAGTGTTCATTGCAAAGGAAAGAAGATTAAAGTCTTCCTCTCCTATTTAAAACAATTTCCCTTTCTCCCTTCCTTCCTTAACAAAATACTGCCACTTCGAAAGAATTAACTTCTGCTTACTTCGGTGATAACACATGCGTATCTTACCTTACGCAGCGATAAGAAAACTTCTTATCTAGGATCGGGGAAAAGCATGAAATAAAACTTTTACAAATACTACGCAAATAATTCCCAACTGAATAAATCTAGTCATGTAACACGTTTAAATTTACAATTACCGAAACAATATAAGCAAAACAATTATTTAAACAAATATGATACAAAACATTGACCTCACAATCAAATAATATGTTCGACAATGCGTTTAATCTCCAATAAACAACCACATTTAACATGGTGCCGAAACCAAATAAAACCTCCGCATGACGTAGTTTACACAACATTTAAAGATTACGGATATTTGTGAATTTTTAATAATTTCAATAGAACAGTACATGTTATAGCCGATTTCTTCGGGGAAATCAACCATGAATTCATGTTACACTTGATAATTTTTATTCTTTCTCGATTGTATGACTTCTTAATTTTATTTAAATTTCTGCGTAAGTTTTCCAAATAATGAATAATAAATAACTAGCGAATAATGGGTATAGGCAATAACCAAACGTCTCACGGATTTTTAAAAAGAATAGTACAAGCATTTTTTTGCCAGAAAAATAAATGTAAATTGCAAAGTGAACATTTCGGGGTTTCCAATGGAAAACACAAAAATAAATAGAACCTTTGCAACATTTGAGAAATTTGTGTATTTAATTTGGGGCTAATTTGTACCCACAAGCATTTTTTTCGTAAAAAATCTCTTCTGCTAAAATTTCTCGTAAATTGTAACCGTAAAATTTTCGGGGTTTATAATGAAAAACGCCATATGAAAATGTGTGTTTAGAATTTGGGACTAATTTGTATTTGCAAAAAATTCTTTCCGCAATTTGGCATTTGGCTTTTTTTGCAAAAAATTTATTTTGTTGAAATTCAAATTTTCATCCATATTGAAATATGCGATTTGTAGGCTTTTTAATAAAAACGAAAACACCAAATCAAATGTTTTTTGTGTCGAATTTAGGATTCATTTTCTAACATTTGAATTTTCATGTGCAATTTTTGGAGTTTCTAATGAAAAACGCCAAAACAAATCAAACCTTTGGACTTTGAACGGCGACCAACCTTTGAACTTTGAACGGCGAGAAAACTGGACTTTGAACGTTACGCAACCTTAGAACTTTGATTTTGAACTAACTTAATTTCGAAAATCACCACGTTATTAACGTTAGTTTTAAAAGCATTTTACCTTATGGAATTGTACAATCAGTTATTGGTCTCAGATTTTCCATACGTATGCATTTACTAGTGCCAAGTATAACTTTTGAAAATGGGGGAGGGGAACACATCACCAAAACAGATTGTCTGAGGAGGGTACTCACAAACGGCGATTGGGACGTCTGGAACAAATATATTGATTGGCGATGTCAAAACTTTATAAGCGAATATCTCGAAAACGGTTTGTGAGAGTATTCATAATATATTATTATATATAGTATTCACAAAGGCAAAATCAATCGCCTGAACGAGACATCTATTGCTGAAGTCGAAGCGAATAGTTATAGCACCTTATAACCCAACCATTCACTGAGCTATTTCGATTTTAAAAAAAATGCGCTTTATCTGTACAAGAGTTGTGCATAATTAATACTTGTTTTAAATGTTTTGGGAATGTCAGATGTATTGAAAGTGTTAGAATGCAGTAAACGTTGAAAAATGAGTACACAATTTTGAAAATGCTTCGGAAATATTTTGTGAAGGTGTGAAGGAAACATTGGATACGTATAGGAGTATATTGTTCAAAATGTTAATTTTTGCAAATAATATTTCATATAAATATATCACGTGATACATCAAAATGTAGGAAATTTTACGCTTTTCAAAAACTCCAAGGTATATAGGGTGGTCTGTATGAAAAAATGTATTATAGGGCCGTACAAAACCAAACACCCTGTATAAAAGCTGTCTATCGCAATGGATTCTACATAAGAAAGTGCTAGAAGAAAGATTGTGCCAAAATCAATTGTTTAATAATAAGAAAATTATTGGGCATTAAAAAAATGGACTACATTCGAGAAACCCAACTAGCAGCCAAACGATTAGAGATGGGTAGCTGAATTCTGTTGACGCCAGTGATATTCTCTTTAACCTTGAGCTCCAGACACCTAGTTCCATTTTTTTATCTCATAAAGTAAAGGGTGTTTTCATAAGAAAGTACCCAATTTGGACCACCGTGTACATCAAACGCCAACAACGAAAATAGAAGAAAATGTTACTTACTTTTTAAACACTTGTATGATCTTTGTTATGCGGGCTTCTTTTTGTTGAATTCAATTGTCGATTAAGATAATAATTTCCAGTGCATTTGTTACTTTCAAATGTCACTCAAATTGTATTGAGAGAACTTGCACAGAGGGCATTTTTACGTAAAATTTTTTCCGTTGTTATCCGATTAAAATGTGCGGAAGAATGAATTCTAAAGGTTAAATGCAGTCAAAGTTTCCGTTATATTCCACCAAACAAATATTCATTAGGTCACGTTCAAGTTTTTATTTTGTCCATTGGAATCCAACGAGCTTAATTTGTCAACTTTGTCAAGTCTGTGAGAGACGTCTTTGTTTTAAATTGTATCTGTCGCCGCATTGCGGGCAAATGGTATCGTTTTACGTGATAAAAACAGGTAATATAAGGTTTCATATCTTACGCTGCGAGTTAAATTCCTCTGAGAGAAGTCTGTTTTGAGCCGGGAAGATTTTGATACAAGTTGCGGCGTTTTGGCATCCGAAGAGTCAATGCGTAAGCTTAGCGTTTTGGTCAGTAAGAGTGTTCATTTCACCAGCCTTTAGAGCGCCAATAATTAAATCTAGCGTTCGGGATTAACCGAGCTTCAAAGAGACGAAAAATATTTAGTTCCAAGCATCCATAATATCCTATGGTTTCTTGGAAGGTTAGCATTTTGCCAAGGTCAAAAGTTTACGAGTTACCATTTTGATTATTATAACGATAGCGCGTTTTTAGTTTTTTCACTACCCTTAGTGAAAGTGGGCGTGAAAAATTTGCGCGTAAACTTGTTTCTTTTGTTGTATTCTCATCGGAAGAAATTTCTGAGTTTGCAACTAGTCTTATTAGACTTTTTACTTGGTGGGATCAAAGTGAATTCCAATTAAGGGAGTCAAACTCAGAAGGTTTCCACGATTTATAGGATCAACATCAACTAAAATAAGCTGCCTTTGCAGTACAATTGATCGAACCACTTACATTTAAGACAGAAATTGTCGTTTCTCCCATTAACTTACCTGAACACATCTGTCCATGTTGTATGCCTAACAAAGAAATTTTACACAAAGAAAACACCTGCAAATTTTATCTTAAAATTTCTTATCAACTTAAATAGGAACAATAATTTCGCATTATCTGGCGGCCCACATTCAATTTACACAAAGACGAACCGTCCGTAGCGTAACCAGTCTTTCTCATAAACAAAAAAAATTATGGAAACCAAAATGATATGTGTTATCACAGCAATGGAAATGTTAGAAATATAAAATAGAACATATTGCAAATGTGGAGCAATTTTTTTAAACATCCGACAATGTTCAATCAATCAATCAATCATGGTGTCGCATATTTTTGGAAATGCCTTGAAGATGGAAAAGTTTTGGAAATGTCGAACAAATTTTGGAAATATAAAAAATGTGTGCAATTTTTGGAAATGTGTAAAATATTGGACATTTTTTGAAGACTGAAACATTTTGGAAACTGAAATGTGTCACAAATATTAAAGATATTGAAAATATGTACCTACTCACCTAGCAATATTTTAAAAATATTAAACATGTGCAGAATTTTTTTAAAATGTAGGAAAATTCATGGAAATGCCGAATGTGAGAAGTGTTTTCGAAAAAATTCGGCCCTTACCTATTGGTACAAAATTCCCCAAAAATAAATACAGAGTTTATTTCACAAAACTGAATTCATTCCTTTTTTAATAAATTCATGCCCAGCTTAGACCATGATTTTACTTGAGATATGATGGTGTAATTGTTTTCTTAATGATGTAATTTTGAAACTCATCAATGAGACCTAAAACCTCCCTCTGTCTGTTCTGTTTTATAAACATTTTAAATGTGAAATTTACAGTAAGTACCTGGTAGAGTAGTTATAAATTAATAAAGACTACACGATACCTGCTACTAAATCCACAGGTAACAAGCAAATTTCCCTGCACATCAAAATCACTGAGACTGCCACTGTGAGTCTCCAACGTGTGCTCAACTTTCAAAGTGTTCGGATCACGTAAATCAATCCGTCCCAGTGGATCACCTGCACAAACAAATCTACCATGCCCTCGAAGCATCACACATCCCGATTCCCCAACATCCACCTAAATCACACACCGTCAGAACGGAGTAGAATGAAACGCAAACATTTTACCAAAGCGGTCTCTTTGCAAAGTGAAATATTAAAATCGATCATCTTATCCTGGTGGCCTGCCAGAAGAAACCGAGAAGGCGATAACTGCAACATGCACTGCATCTCGGTTAAATTGGGCGACCTGCAAGTGACAATTTAAACCTTCTTGGACAGCCAGACAAACGTACGTATGAGTAAACACAGGTATCCCTCTCCGAATTTGGCAACGAAGCATTCCAGCGGTTAAAATCAGTAAGCCCTCGTCGATAGGCAAAATATGTCGTATATCTTGAGTCGCGTGAACCTGAAACGACGTATACTTCTGCATCGCGCCCCCGTAATACGACGTAACGTGCCCCTAAAACTGTACAATCGCACCTCGTAATTAGACACGGAAAGTATTACCCCTTGATTTCCCATCCATAATAGTTCCTCGTTCGGATCGAAAGCCAAGGCGCAGACACCGAACCTATCGCCGCCGTCGGCCAAAACGCACTGCGTTTGTATATACTCGCTTTCCATGCCGATTTCCGAAGTTTCCGCATTCCCGACAACTGCCAGCTAAAAGGGGGGCATGTAATTAGCTAACGAGACGATCTTTTACTTACGCCCGACTGATCGAAATACATTATTTGCGATTATTTAAAATTAAATCATTCCTGTCTTTATTTGACAAAATTATCGTAAACAAAAACGTGTTACACAACAAAAAAACATACGTCATAACCTCAAAAATCACCTGATTTATTTCGGTGTCTCTTGCACCTACAACGGCACGTCTCAACGATAAGGAGACAACATACCATTCGTCGTCGTTTAGAAGATAAAGATAACGATAGTGGTGGCTACTGTAATACAATTGTTGTATAGTGTGATTGTGACATAGGTACAGTCCTGCTTTGATAAACTCAAAAGTTAAGTGTTTGAATATACATGGTCCTCATTATATGATCCAATAAATCGGCAATTTACAGGTCAACGTAACGTATAACATATTTATTTAAAGTATTTTGCATTAAACAACAAAAGAAAATTGTAAAAGAATATTCGTATAATTTATAAAAATTAGAAAAATAAGGAATGCTTTACAACATTGAAGTAATACGTTACTATCTAATCGAGAAATAGTTATACAATCAAAATGTTACTAACGCATTAAAAAATTAATATTAATGATTTGAATAAATACATGCTGGAATGAAACAGTAAAACTCAATATTGAATTATATTATGTTAAACTTTTGAAAATTGGGAGGGGGGGGGGGTGAACACACGTTCTACCCTTCATGGTATTCTATAATCGAAATGAATTGGTATGTACTAACACCCCTTTTCGCGATCAATGGGTAACAGGGCGAAAGGGAGTGGGAGGTAGAAATGGATTTTATCTTTCATGATCTCAACAAAAGGAACCGTTTCTCTACCAAGTACCGCACTTCTTTCTTATCAAAAGAGGGGGATGGGGGGAACTGGTTTTATCCTCCATGGTACTCTAATGAAAGGTCTCTTCGGCCCCTTATCGTGATCGGATATCATTCCCTTTACTTCAAGAACATATTGTCGGAGGAGGGTCTGGAAGAAAAATATCATCGTGATACCATGGCATGGTGAAGTCAATACTTTAACAGGGAATATCTCGAAAAGGGTTTGTCGGAGGAAAATACTCTCAAAGGCAAAATCAATCGTCTGGACGAGACATATCTATTGGCGATGTCAAACATTTCAGTGCAAATATCTGCAGAACGGAGTGTCAGAGAAGGGTACTCTTAAATGGCGGAAAGGTCGTCACCTACTGGCGATGTACAAACTTAATTGGAAATATCTCGAAAATTCAATATTTCGGAGAATTTCTCTAAGGTGGTCTTTAAATGTTTATGTGTAAAGAGCCCCCTCATCCCCATTAATCATTTACTAAGAAAGTAAACATCGATAAATATAACATGTTACTATGTATGAGAAAGTTCATATTGCGCAGTCTAGGCATGTGCACATTTGTTTTTTAATATATGCGATATGTTTGCCTTTACTAGAAGCATCGGTGATTAAAATTTTAGACACATCTACGCGTCAAACGGACGGATGGACATAGAAAGTGACTTCAACTCGGTTGCGCTAAAAATTTTACTTTTCAAGAAAACTAACGGTGGTATAACGCTTAAAGGGGAATTATCCACTAATTACGAACTCGTTTAATTCCAAAATTAAATCAATTATCGTAACTTACCCAATTTCTTATCTTCAGTTCCAGATGTGTTTGCTCTAGGGTAGTCCCCAGTACGCGTTCCACAGAATATGAGCAGGTCCAATGTTGATTAAAACTTGTAATTATTATGCTTAGATCTACGCCATAAACTCGAAATTACAACTAAAGCTAGAAACTAAAACCCAACTAAGAACAAAAAGCCTGAAAGAAATCACATCCGTTGAACCCAAAAAAATTAACATATCTCCAATTAGTAAGAGGGTTATTAGCACGATTGCCTTGGTCCACACTCCATTTAAAGCGAAAAGAATTCATCAAAAGAATGCAATGATAACAATTGCGGTAGCAGGTGACGGCCTCTTACGTATATAATAAATCCGATTTAAAGCCTCCAAAATGGGAGAAAAGTGTAAATATGAGTATATTTCAAAATTTGCAATTAAACCATAACATACACTCCTGTTAAAAGTTGCCGTCTACGAACGTGCTCTCAAAATAATGAAGGCAAAGAGAACAAATGCACATTCCAAACTCGCTGTAAAGACGCACCAATAGAAATTCGACACAAGAAATATTATTCCATTGGAAAACACAGTGGTCCTCGAACAAAAATTACAATTAAATGAAAGTACAGATGGATAGACCGACAGGCTGACATAATTTCAAACAGTTTGAAGATTGGGCTACTAGATCAAAAGTTACAGTCCTTTGAATTTTTTTTTGAAATTTGTTTTTTGTCCATAACTTTTTATTGAGAGGTCTAATCGAAAACGTACGAATTGTTTTGGATTCTAGGCACCAAAATTAATAAGAAAAAGTGTTTTCCCGAGAAATTTTGGTGCAGTCGATTTTTGGTAAAAAAGGAAGGTTATACACTTCCTTTTTTTGAGGCCCGAAAAAAAATTGTCTCAGATCGACCCGGAAAAAAAATTTTCTTATAGAATTTGGCTCGTAGAATCCATAATTTCAAACAGTTCCATGATTGGGCTACTAGTTCAAAAGTTACAGCCCTTTGAATTTTCTTTCGAAATTGGTTTCTAGTCTATAACTTTTGATTGAGAAGTCTGATCGAAAAAGTACGAATTGTTTGGATTCTACGCACCAAAATTAATAAGAAAAAGTGTTTTCCCGAGAAATTTTGGTGTAGTCGATTTTTGGTAAAAAAAAGGAAGGTTAAGTATTCAAATACTATGCGAAGTATTCGAATACTTCCCAAAGTATTCAAATACCTTGCGAAGTATTCGAATACTAAATATTTGTGAAAGTATTTGAGCTACAAATACAAATACTGTTTCCATAAAAGTATTTAACTACAAAGTATTTGAATACTTTAAAGGATTTGAATACTAAAAAGTATTTACAAAATCGAATACTGCCCAGCTCTGCTTGGAGCAAAGCGCTCGAAAAGCTCTCAAGTGACCTAAATATACCATGCATACCATACAATAACGTTTTGGTTACTTTTGTTCTGAAACCGAGATCCTTCCTGTGCATGAAAAAAAAACGAAAAATGCTCATTGGCTCAATGTGTTAATTTTTTGTCTTGTTTTGTTCATTTTTGTTTCTTTTCTATTTTATGAGAACTTCTTTCTTTAGCTATTAACGTATTATTTATTCAATTATTTGTTTATTTATTTATTTATAATTTGTGTAGGTATTTATTTCATACAGTTTTGATTATTTACTATCAAGTTTTGCCTATATAAATATTCTTGCTTTGAATTTAGGTAAAAATTTCAAATTTATGAATAAGAATCAATTACTTAGTTAATATTAATTAATCAAACCGATACGTAGTCGATCTTTTGCGACATCACTGGTATCTTACACAAAAACGTTATCAAGCGCCAACTGATAATACAGAAAAATCAAAGTACCTAAAGGTCAAAAATTAAAGTTAATAACTACATTTCCCCCATCGCATTCCCCATTTTGTTTGGAAAACGATATTTCGGTCACGTTTTCTGGCAGATTATCCAAATATTCCACGCTTTCGATAACTTCTGTAACTTCGGTTTCTTCAGGCGGTGCGAATGAAAGAACCTCAAATTCGGTTAATCGAACAACTCGGTTTTCATGAACGGCGTGCAGCCATATCGTATTCTTATGATCGACAACAACTTTTCCAACAATCCTTTCGTCATCATGAATTCCTCTCCCGATAAAGATATCGGAATCTCCTTCAGATCCCCCAACAATGTATCTACCGTTTGATTTAAAAAGAAAACTGGATGTTGATTCCCACCTCAACTGCGTTGGATTATTCGAGCATAAGATCTGCAAGACTAGCTGGTTAATGGTTTGCTTTGGAGAAGTGGTTTGTTACCATAACATTATTAGCGGCTGTATGTCGCGAATTTCCCCATTCAAAAACCGCTTCTCGCCTTCCTGCTACTATTTCGCCTGGAACCAGTAGATCCCTGTATAACACTTGGGCTATGTAAATCGCGTCTTCGGCGTTGTTCGTACCAACCCTATAGGCATCGTGAGGTATTTTCCCTTTATACACTTTCCAGTGGTACGCTGTAAAATGAGTGTTAATAAGTTGGTCCAAAAAACGCACCCTCTACCTTCATCTATACGTGGAACAGCTGAAGACCACGTGAGATAGAAGCATATGGTGAACAAGAAACTACCTAGTAGAAGCCTGGACATTGTGTACCAAATACATATAATCTTGTGTTAATTTATCTCACTCGGTATGATAATGTGGATGCTGTTCTTGACCTCCGAACTCGTCGTTGCATAACGTTTTGGCATTGGGAATCAAACTGGTCAGCTTTTATATAGCCCAAATGTGGTTGCTTAATTGCAATACAGATTGTTCTGATTCTGTGATACTTGGTATTCTATGGATGGGGAAAATCCAATGAGTTCACTTAGCTTCACATGATTTGTTTATCATTGAAATAACGCAATTTGGATTATCCCAAATGAGGGAAAGTATGCCTGATGAAACATTTCTAAAAAAAATTTACTTACACGACGTGTCAACCAAACCAACTTTCGGCAAATTAAAAATATTACCTTGGCCAGCACAGATACCACCCGCACATATGCACATGCGTGATTCTACCCAAAAGCTTTTCAGCTCTTCTTTTTATGTCTAAGAATATGAGTACCAAATTTGGTTCCAAACGATTCATTTAGCCGGAAATGAGAGTACAGACAGAAAGACCGACATCATCGAGATTTTGTTTAATTTGGGTTTCTGGTGGTGAAAAACGTGTAATTCTATCAAAAAAGTAGGGGGCTGTATATGATCACCCGGTATCTAGAAGCGTTTTAAGTTAGGCACTTCGTTACGAAAAAGTCGTTTGTAACCGTCCCCTCAAGATATTTCAATTATCTTTGTTGCGTCCGAAAGCTCTTGGCGCAAATTAATATTTTAGAATTTCAGCCACGTTATACCATTATTTGCAGGTTTTTGTTTCTTATGGTAAATCAAAACGAGCATTAAAACAGCAAAGGCCATGTAGGTTGACGCCGTTATCACGTCGATAAGCGACCTTTTTGCCGATCTGAGAAATTCCAATTACCAATATGTGTTAAACAGATTACCGACTTTAAACATTTCAATACGGTCAATTAAGTAAATGCAATTAATATTACCTAAATAAATGTGTTGCAGTAAACAGCATCCGATTAAGTCGTGGAGGGTCTCAAAAGAAACGCTCTTAATTAATTTGAGTTTTAAGACCAGTTACAGATTTTTAGAACGCCAGCACGCCGCGCGCACAATGATTGAAAGAAGTTGTAATTTTTTGCCTTTGGGTGTTTAACCGAAACGTAAGAAATCCTTTACCTTTTTTCAAGTTACGTACGTAAGTACCGTAATTGTTAGCTTTTTGTTACATTCCGTTTCATTAATTATAGGGGGTGGGGGTGGGGGGGGGTATTGTTTCGCTTGCCTGCATTTGCTTTATCGTAGATACCGTTACCGAATTCATTTATTTACCATTCCCGCTTAGGGAAATTGCTCTGCGTTGTAATTTTGTTTTAGCATTCACCAGTAGCCTTCTGCCGCTTTCCCTTTAGAAATCCTGCAGCTGCCGTCCTGCTCCGTTTGAGTTTGCCAGAGGCTTCCGTAACCGATGCACCCAAACCGCTGCTACCGTCGACCTTGACCAGGAGCAAAGCCGTACGCTTGGTGACGTTCGAGTCCGTCCGTCCGTTCTGCTTACAGAAAACCGAAGTTGCCGCAGACCGCCGCTACTTTCGTGCTCTCACATCAAATGATTTTTTTAATGAAGAGAAGCGGCTTATCCACAAAGAATTAGTAATCATTCTTCGCATCAATCAATTTCCTCGTGTTCTTCTGATTCTTTTCACATTGTTGAAATGTTTGGGATTCTTCTGTTGCTTCAGATTGTACCGATTCTTCCAAATGTTCACTTTCAAGTTCTGTGGAATTTAATCTACAGTTTATAACAGTTCCTCAGATTCATCGCATACCTTTGGATGAGATTTACCGGTTTCTTCCGTATCTTCGAACTTCTTCTATTCATCAGATCCCACGAATTTCTTCAGGTTTCAGATTCCCCTTAAGTATTACATTTATTTGAAATTTTTTGATCAGATTTTTTTATTGATTTCGACTTTTCTGATTCTGTCAGTTGATAAGATTCTTTCAAATTTTGCATTTCTTCGAAATTCTTCAATCCTCAATTTATTTGAATTCTTTCTATTTCTTCAGACGGTATTCAATTTTTTGTGATGCAGGTTTTTTGTATTTTTTGGATTGTTCAGTTTCTTTAAGCCCTTGGGATCCTTTCGTTCCTTCAGATTTTTCCAATTGTTCCGATTCTTCATTGCATGTCTATATTTTCCGTTTGTTCAATTTTAATGCGGTCAGATACTTCCGCATCTTCGAATTCTTCCAATTTTTTAGAAACACAAGTAATCAATTTTCTAAAATCTTCTAGATCCATACAACTTTTTCACTTCTTAGGTACTTTTTTTTAATTCCTTAGATCCCTCAAATTGCAAGACTCTTCAGTGATATTATTCAAATTTTGTACGCAAAATCGTCCTGAAACCTTCATGTTCATGCCTACTTTCTGTAAGGAAATTTTAGTTTCCATGACAGAGGCAGAGCAGACTACGTGTCCTGCCGCTTGTCACTGTACTGGCCGCAGAATGTCACTTTACCGGCCGCATTTCTGACATTTCCAAATGTCTATAATGACTCCTGTCATCACTGACAGATTGACATTAATCAAAAGTTCTATATAAAAATTGAAATTTTATTTTAAATACGATTTCGGGTAAAATTTAATACAATACTCGTGAGTAAAATGACATTACCTGACTCAGAAATGAAAGTACTCGGCCCCACTTCAATATTTCCTTTTATGTAAATAACTATTTTGATTTTTCAAATATTCCAGATTCTTAAGATTCTATGCTTCCCTTTCTTCAAATTATTCCAATTACGGGGTGTTAACATTCTCCAGGCACATAAGGTTTTTCAGATTACTGAAGTTGAATTTTTCCGATTCTTCATATTATTCATATTCGTCAGTCATTTCAAAGGATGACCTTTTCACAAAAAAGGTCAACAGTTGTCGTTTCCGTCGGTGGGATCAAAATTTGAAGCTCGAATATCTCAAAAATTAAAATCGGAAAAGGCTACTAAAGTTTCTGTGAGCTCAGTCGTTACCTACGAAAGTTTCTGTTAAAAAAGTTCTTGTGTAATTTTTAAAAACATTGAGAGCTTCAAAAGTTTTTATGAATCTTAAAAAATCAATCACAACTATTCTAGTGTCTACAAGGGTAACCTGGTTAGCTTTTTAAGAGACCCTCGGGTTCTTCAAGAGCTTTTCAAAAAGTTTAAGACTCTTTAAGGCCTTCAAGGACTCCTTTAAACCCATTCAGATCAGTCGGGTCTTTAAGGTAACTTTTGAAGGTTATGAAACTTTCACGAATTAAAACATGCACGAAAAATAAACCTCATGGGATACTATAAGACCCATTTTTTATTTTATTCTAAGGGTGCGCCATGAAACTGTGCTCGAAATGACTAGATGACGCTGAAGTAGGGAGGAAATATAAATTTGGGAACGTTTGGCGAAAGCATTCTGGACTCAGTTTATACTTGAAAACAAATTTGACTTGGTCTTCTAAATTTAAAATCACGGACCGAAATCATCTTGTCAATATTTAATCTTTTATATAACCAAAAATGATCCTGCGTTGTCTGATCGAGGACGATTTAAGATCAATCCCGTAGAAAAAGGTCCTCTTAAAAGGATTGTCAAACTGAATCCACATAAAGTGAAGCAAATTTTATTATAATCACACAAAATAGATATACATTAAAAACTCTGCCTGAAAGATTCATATTCATATCAATTAAAGTTAATAATTACAGTCCCTTTGCTGCACGTACATTTTTCATTATTTGTAAGCGTAACGGACCTAGGTTTTTGCGAAGTGGATAAACCTCGGGATAAATGGTCTTCTTTATATAAACGTGGTCGCGGTGAAGTCGAAGGTCGGAGGCTGTTGAACCGTTCATCAATCCACGATCTGGTAGGTCGCCAATTTCTATAGTAAGGACGTGGAGGAGTAACCGGCATGTATCTGTGGAATCGTGGCTCCAGAGGGTAGTACGGTTTTGAAGTGTGGAATAATTGATCATAATGTTCAGTCGACACCCTTGATCGATAATCGGCTTCTGAGCGTGGCCTTGGAGATGTGACGTGGTAAACGCTCGTGAAAGCGGTCGTTGGAGACGCAGACCTCCTCGCAACCCTTAAAACTTCGAAATTTCTCTTCCGCAGCGCTTGGGAACCGTAAGTCGTATGTAAGACAACCGGATCAGAACCATGGACTATCACTTTCCCGACCACTGGATCTCCATGCTCCCATGATCTACCAATAAACACCTTGTTCCCACTCTCGTATCCCCCAACAATATAATCGTCGTCAATGGAAAAATCGTCGGTGTTAGTTTCTACCCACTCCAGTGCATTTGGGTTATCAGTGCAAAATATCTACAAACTTATTAGCTCAACAGCAAAATAATAGTCAGAAAATGGCCAACCTTAATATTAGTGGATGACTCCCTTTCCGCATTTCCATATTCGTAAATGGCATCTGTGGTCACAGAGTGATCTATGACTCCTGGAATCAGTAAGTCCCCATGCAACACTTGAGCAATGTACTGAGGCTCAACTCCAAAACTAGCAGGAAACGCATCTTTGGGTATCCGATTATTGTAATCCCGCCAGTAATAACCTGAAATGTTCCCTAAATTATAATCGGAGAGCTGCAACGTACCTTCGGGGTCGAGTTCGGAGTCTTCAAGTGTCGATTCTGTGTTCGCCTCGCAAGTGAAACCCTTGACCAGCAGACACAGTGAAACGAATAATGGACGAACGTGCATCTTCTAGGACGACCAACTGCAAAATAATACCTAATGAAATAGCCGTGACTCTTCCTTCTATCTTATTAAGCGCTTATTATCTGTTTCGATAAAGTGGTTTCCGTTTGAGCGTCAATTTTTATCCCACGCAAAATCTCTAAAAGAGAAGCAGATTCATGGGCAAAAATTACTAAATTTCCTGAACAGATAATTTTCACCGGAACCGAATTGGTGGAAAAAATGACAAAGTGAATCTTTTTGTTGCAGATTACATAATCAGTATGATACTGTAAGAGGTAGTGCCAGGATGTCGTATAAGAGACAAACATTTTCTGCCAAAAAACCGATAGAAAAACAAGATACGAAAAATCGCATACGATTTTCAGCAGGGGATTTTTTTTACACTCGGCTCGCATTCGGAAACCAGACTTTTAATCCGGCTTACATTCAATAGCACTAATTCTTGAACTCGTAGAAATGGATTGGCGAAGGTTTCACATCGCTGTATCTTTTCGTTCTCGAGTTAGACGAGGAACAGACGGGCGGACAAAACCATCACACGGGGGGCTTTTTCTTTCGAAAAATTCCCCTAAAAAGGTTGCATTTGGGATCTTTTTGAAATTGAAGTTTGAATTCTTTCTCTTCTCTTTAATTATTTATGTTCAAAGGAGCTAATACTAATATGAAACGGTCCTTAAATAGATTGATTTATCACAGGTTAATTATTATTTATCACTACTTGAACTCAAATTAATAGTATATTATATACCGCGGGACTGAAGTAGTACTTTTAATCCCGAAGGTAAAGTTTATGGCCCGACCGAAGGGAGGGCCATAATTTACCTGAGGGATTAAGACCCCTACTTCAGTCGCAAGGTATATACCTACGATATTTTTCGTACTTCCGAAACTGAAACACTTAATATGTATGGAGTTAGCGAACGCGTTCTTTCAAAAGATCTCTGCTTAACAAGTTACCATAGGAACGGTGCGTTGGTACGACAATCCCTATGCTATGGTAACAAAAATAATTTGGAAACTGTCATTGCTAGTGTCATAATTTTGGTGGTGGGTGACAAAGGTGTATTTGATATTGATAAAAGAGCAGCCAAAGTAGGTAAAGAATTGATACCACCGAAATCCAAAAAACTCTAAGAGCAGCAGTACGATGCGTTTAAGAAGTAGTGCCGCGTACAAAATGTGGAACAACCTACTGAAATTGCCTTGTTAGTAATTTCATCCTTCCGGGATTTTCGTCCAAATTTAATCCCGGCGGGACAAAAAGTGACACTTCAGTACTTGTCATAATGGAGTGAAGTTGTCACTTTAGTCTCGGAAGTACGAAAAAGATATTTATGACACGCGGGCGCGAATTTCACTATTTATCACTTCGGTATAGATGTTGAGACTGAAACTAAACACGATTCAATTTGTTTATATGTAGCTATAACGATAAACTTGCTCAAAAATCTAGAATAAATCTTTCACAGAAATAATGGGACCCATCCTATTTCATTCTCTATCTCCGGTGACTAATCCTTTATCGACTTGACGGCGCCTCGAGAAAGTTCTAGAAGAATCGCTACAGTACGAATCGATATTGTTTAGGCTATTGTGTAAGAAAAGTAAATGGTTAACAAAAGAATCTGGCGATTTCCAATATTTCAGTACTTTTGATGCATTTTGGAATTCATATTTTCGTTCAAAATATTTTGGTTTAAAATGAATGACCATTTTCAGATTTGTTATGAACACGTCGAATATTCCAGTAGTTTGCCATTTAATCGCCTTTTACGACAGACAGAGGGACCACCATCAGGGGTATTCCTAATTCCCTTTCCCGCCCACCGGGATGGTTTATATTGTTGTACTAACATAATTCGTTTTAGAAAAATACTACACCCAATAAAACCGCAATTTAAAATGCAAAGTGCACCATCAATACTTTAAATGTCATTTTCGTGTGTTTAAATGGAAATTGTACATAGGGGCTTTCCCGCGAGCCACCTTCTCGTTTTTTAAATAAATGAGAAAGTGTCCAAGTGCGCTATACCTACACTGCGTCCAAGATAAAAACGGGGATCTGGGATATACAAAGACAGCCAAATTACCTACTTAAATTAGGAAAAAGTTGCGCAATTAAAGAGTAATTATCATGCTGTAAAAAAATCCAGAAAATTTCGATCCGATTTTATTTTTAATTTTTTCTGGTTGATATTTGAACATACAAAAAAATGAAAAAAGAATTTCAGTGAGTAACTTTTACGCATTTTCCATAAATTGATCAATACTTCCAAAAGCTCATAACGGTCTATTTATGTATACAAAGAAAATATAGCACTGCGCAATATGCGCATGCGCACAAGTGGTATTTAAAATATGCGATATGTTGGCCTTTACTAGAAAAATCTTTTGCTAAAATTTCAAACAAATATCTTTATAAATAAATCCGTTTTGCGCGGTTGCACCATCCTGTTGAAACCAAGTTTCCAACTTTTGATTTTTTTTGTCCGTTTCGTTATATTCGTAATGATGATTTATAGAATATACCTATATTATATCGGGAGATCCTGAACTTTACTCAAATTTTTGCGTAGGTACTTCATTTGGAAAAGGAACCATAACCGTGGACCGTTCAAAGTTTATTGTGGTAGAGTTTGAAATGTGTCGCCTAAGGTTTGGGTTTAAATTGAACCTTAAAACCTTAAAAGGCCATGTCAGAATGCCAGTGATAAGTATAGTCATAAAAACCAGTATATCTAAGACACAAAGGACAAGAGCTGCAGTCAGCACGAGATGAAGGAGTAACATATGCAGCGGAGAATCAAACTGCATGCGGTACTCCCTCCAAGGAATAGTTAAATCGAACCATACACAGAGCAACAACACTCCCATAATAACAAACTTGTACCTATCGTGAATACATAAATGAATAAGTAATAAAACAATATAAAGGCATAACCACACGTACACTATACTAACCCCCAGGTTCTATGCTAACTTCACACTACAATAACGTACGGAAATAAAATCGACCCGGAGACGTTTAAAAAAGCCCAATGGAATGGCTATTCCCCCAAACCTAAACGAGATCTCTCTTCAATTTGAAATCGCAAAATGGCACGTGATCAAACATCTAAAGCAGGACCCCCTTACGTCAGTTGTAACAGCGGTATACGCCGCAGTACAGTATACAGAAGGAAAGGGAAATAAATACTGTCTATGGCCCCTTTCTTGACTCAGCAGATATAAGAAAGATACAATTGCTGCAAAATTCCTGTCTAAGACTTATATTTGGAGTCAGGAAATTTGAACCAATTAGTTACAAATTAAAGGAATTAAAATGGTTTAATATGAAAAATCGGAGGTTTTTGCATGCTGCCACGGTATTCCATAATATTATAATCAACAGGTCGCCATCTTATCTGTATGAAAAGATCGCCTTTAGGACGGATGTCCATAATCTGAATTTAAGGTTTAAGGGGCTATTAACACCGCCAACACATGTTACTCAACTTTTTAAACGTTCCTTTTCCTATTGCATTGCAAGTATTTACAATAACTTACCCGAAAACCTTAAAAAACTTTCTTTAATTTCATTCAAGTGTAAGCTACGGAAATTCCTGCTTGAAAATCAGTCACGTGCCTAAACTTCAAATATTGTTTTTTTTATTATACCTGAATCACAATCTCCGTTTTAAACACTCAAATGCGTGCGAAAAAGGGCCTTAAAAACACACGTGCTTTAAAGTTGCTAAGTAACGATACTTCAAGTATGACTTTTGAAACTGTCATCTGGATGCAATAAAAAATCCTCTTAGGTCGCTTTCTGTAAATGCAGAACATTTCTTTGGCTTTTGTACCTATCTTTTGGTTGAAGCTTTCACAAACGCGCGTAATTTAGGGTATGCTTCCAAATCTGTTCCACTTTTTAATCGCAGCATTGCTTTAAAGTTTTGAATGAATGCACCAAAATATAGAAGATTTAAATACCTTTGACATTTCCTTCATATATGCCAGCATTATCGATGCATTTAAGACTTTATTCGTAAGTAACTTCCTATTCCATCCATGGAAACAACTTTTCATATTATTTATAATAGGCTTTACTGGATTTGGATTTTACACCTACCAACGTTTGTTTAGATTTTACAACAATCGATTTAATGGACGGTGTATTATCTTTTTCAACGGAAATCGTTTAATTCACAAAGACGATGATTTTTATAAGCAAACGTCAAGTGACATTTCCATGGCAATCGTGAAATTACGAACACCCAGCCCACTTAATTAGACATGTATTCGAGTATAACGTCAATATGATTTCATTGAATTTCCTATTTTTAAATTATACTGCAGGTATAATAAAAAATACTATAAGATACACGTGTATAATTGGTCTTTAAAGCACTTGCAACGTTAAAGGCACTCCGCTTTGCGTCGTGCCCTTAAACTCGTTGCGCGTGCTTTAAAGACTTGATTATACACTTGTATCTTAATATACTATTTTTTTTTGTTACATTTTTTTTGTCTAGTTCACATTCATACTTTTTTATTTATTTTAATTTAGTAATTCTAATTAGTTTTCATACCAAATAGAATATGTCTATACTAGGTATCGGAATAATTTCTAGGGTTAAGTGTAAGAACAGGCAGCGGTTTTTCTGCTGCACTGAACTTCGCCCTTGCTTGGAAGTCCTTTGGTTATTTTTTTTTCTATTTCCTCAAATAAAGGCAATATTATTATTATTATTAAATCACTGAAATGGTCAAAAGTTTGTTTAATAACGATTGTTATTGTTGTGAAAGCTCGGAAATTGACTCAAAGTAATTACTTTGCAAGAATAAACTTTGAAAATGGTAGTTCATCGGGTAAAATCGCCGGCCTATGTGGCGCGGATGTGCAACTGCGGTAGGTACTAAGGGAGAATTGAGTTGAGTTCAGAGAGGATGCTTGGCTGAAACCCCGCCCACTTGAAAATAAAGTCCAAAACTAAATAAATGAATAAAAATAAAAATAGGGTAGGAAAAAAAGAACCTGCCAAGAAAAAACCAGCCAGAAAATTTATATTAAACTGAATAGCAAAATTAATTGGTTGTAACGACATAATAAATTATCACAACAATATATTAACAAAGCACCCATCGACATACTCATACATAAACATAAGCAAAATAAGTGTATACCATGCGGTAGGCTCCGGGAGGTGACATATTTGCACCAACTTAGCAAAAGGTTGACACAAAAGCAACATTGTTATTATACATGTCAAGAGTCAGCAAAAATAATCAATTAGCAGTATCAGCAAAGAATTCAACAAAAAAAACCGGTTATGCATAATTAAAAGCTCAAAAAGACGCTGAAGAACCTACAAAAAATCCTTCCCTTATTTCCCGAAATATGACCTACATTTGATGCTCATATCACTGCATATGTACGTTTGACTTATCACGGGATAGAGAACAAAATGCTGCAATGCGCATCAATGAAGTTGTAGGTTGTGCACGACTCATTTCATATCTAAATCTAATAAAAATACAAGCCTACACTTAACGTGAATTTAAAACGGCGATGCATAATGCAAAACATAAATCAGGAGCCGCTGGGAAAATTAATACAAAAATTTGCTGTGGCTAACACAGATACCACTCGCACACCTACGATTCTGCCCTTTTAATATGTGTACCAAATTTGGTTCCAATCCGGCGAGACATCGTTAAGGGTGGGTTCTAAACGTGACGAGGCGTCGTCTCAAATAAATGCAGCAAACTAAACATCACGTTAAGGATAAACGCACAGGCACAGTATATACAAATGGTGCACTCCTGTTGAATCGTAAGACTTTGTAATATGCTTTTTACTCGTAGGTGATATGGTAAGATACAACAGATCGGAATTAAACGAAACATAGGAAACAGGATAAGCGTCTTTATAAAAACTTATCATATTCTTAAGATATAAAAGGAAGTGGATCGGCACCATTAGCTTTCAGAGGGTTGCCAGCATGCTAACATGTAATGAAAGTATGTTATTACGTTTATTTATGTAAATTGCATAAGAATTCACAAAATAAATACGTTTACGATTAATAAATAAAAATCCAACCATTAAGACTAAACTTAACTAATTAAAATCTAAAAAAATACAAAATATTATGACATATAAATGACACTGCTTAAACTATTGGCAGTATGAAATGAGTTACAATATGAATAGTCGAATAATATAACTAATAGATTAAATAGAATAACTAGGGTTGTACGACGATGGGACTGTCAAAATTACATACTTTAAGTAAATTCGTAAATTAAACTAAAAACAAAGAAGACGCTAGGTTTAGCAAGTGACAAGCGAAACATATCAAACGCTTTTCACTAATAAAAATATCACATACAATAACTATCACAAATTAACAATAGGTAAAATAAAAACTGATTCGATTACATACACGGATTATTACAAGAATATGATTTATATAAACGTACCAACATCGAAATTACTACACTAAATAGATAGCAAAATATTACGATCGATTTTTTTTCTGGTTGATTAAAACTGCACTTATTTTTCATTTAAAGCTTATAATATGCACGGTGCTAGTTTTATGACAATTAATTAAATGACGATTAAGAGTATACATCTCTACGCGACTACGTTTACATGAATGCGCCCTTGGTACAGAACGAGGAGGGCTACAAAGGATACAGTACCAGCAGTACGATGAAAAAAAAAACTCTATCAGTGCCTACCTACGATCACTCATCAAGCAAGGTAAGCCCATACTTCCGTCTGCATCGTTGACTGGAGGGAAACGGCGTAATTGATGCATGGTGTCGTTTATCACAGTGTTGTACGATCAAGTTTTTTGAGCAACTTAGATTTGTCGGCTCTAATGCGAGGTAAGGACTTACCTTCATTTGCTCTACGCCTACAATAACGTGGATATCACGCCATTTTGTACTCAACAAAAAAATTAACTAAGAAGAAAAAGGACTGCGACAACCCTAGCTATTGACAAAAACCGCAATTTATGTTCAAAAATAACAAATTTAATTTACGCCCCAAATTTCGGCAACAAAATAGTAAAGTGCCTTGCAACACCTTATTTGTATTTTTAAATCGATCATATTTACCACAGACTTATTACCACAGATAAGTTTATCTTGAGAAAACCACTGAAAGCATCTTGCTACCCATTGCACAAAAAATCGGTGAAATTAATTATCGAAAAAACTATCTTCGAGTGTGTGTGTGTTTTGTGTTTTTCTTGCGTCAATCTAAAGCCTAGCTCCATTAAGATTTTCAAATCGACTATAATCCGTTATTCACACTAGTTTTCTAGCGATATATCTACACAGCGATCCATCGTATTTTAACATGCAAGGTGATTACGCCTATATTTTGTGATTTTAAAACAAATCAGTCGGAAAAATGTTCAATTATCGTCATACGTAACAATAACAATGTCAAGTTAAGAAATGCTAGTTTCAGTGCATTACTTGCGCGAACGCAATATGCTACGTCACAAAAATGTTCATTTGATTGTAAATGTCCATGTTGAAATTCGTGCTTTGAATCTTATTTTTGGCTGTTAAGGCCACCAAAGTGATTTTTTTTGTTTTTATAACGATAACAACTAACACTATACGTTAGCATTTCATCAATGCGAATTTAAGTGTTATGAAGAAAACGATCTTCGATTTTCTGAATCTTCCCAACCGTTTTCCTTGATCATGTGGGCCAGTTCGATTATGAATTTGCCCTCCTTGTACTTTTGGCTGGACTCGAACGCGTGCTCCTGGAACAAGATCGCATTTCGCGTTAGACCGAGCGAGACAAATTCCGAGTCGGCGAGCGTGAAGGCAGGTCGAGGGTTACATTTTGCCGCATTCCCTCGGATGTACTTACATACTTCCAGCCTAACGTCGTTTTGCAGCACTCGCAGTAGATGTCGGCTACCGCGTGTAAACCGGTCAATAGGACTCGTTCCTCTGCAGGGCCGCAGCCAACGTTCACCCTAAAAATTATAAGTCTTTAAAACAATTTGCGCAACATGAGGGCCAATCGTTTTGGGAACCGTTTAAGAGTCATTTGAGAAGAATGACTTGTTAGTGCCATAGTGTACAGCAAGTTTTAAAATTCGGATAACACGGTCGGGTCTTGAGGGTTCAATTGCTAGTTGATCAGGTTTAGGTACCACATTTTACATACAAGCCTCAAACGGGATATGGAAGAAGGGCTTGAGGATTTGAGTACTCAAGGGCGAAGTCTTGTCAGAAAAAAGAGAGTTTTGACCGATTTTCACAAACAAGTTCGTTGAAAGTATGAAATAAATGGACTATAGTATATTTTTAATACACGACGCGTAGCCGAGTGGAGTAATATCACGCAAGAGTGAAAAGTAGCATTTATACTACTTTTCCTATGACTCCCATTAAGAAGGCACGTTTACTAAGTTGGTGTTACGCTAGTGGGAAGCAAAAAATGAGAAAGAAAAAGTTTTCGACCGCATTTTTACCAAGAAAAAAAATACATCGTTTTCACGCCAACTTATTTTGATGAAACGTGCCATTTTTTAAGGTATTCCTAGGAAAAAGTACAACGCATTTTTTTTCCTAAGACTCCTTTAAACAAATTTCAAAACTGACACATTAATATTATACGCTGCTGCCTTAATATTGTTGTCTCGATTGTTGTGTAAACAACGTCATGAAGACCTTACTACGGTCTAAATACCAAAAATAAAGACGGAACATTATGAGAATAGTTCAATTTATTAAGTAAAGCCTGGGGGATTATATACGAAATAAGCAGTCCTGTTTTCCCATTTAAAATTTTGCAAATGCGCAATTCTAGTTTAAATTTGATCGCGTTTGTAATTTATTCACTTTAGATAAGACACATCTGGTCGTTGTGATAAGGAGTTTTATCAGGCGAAATCTAATTAATGCACGTGATTTGTGCTGCTAACTAAGACGCAGGTGGTTAGTGGGGACGTTAGGCCCAGGGCCGGACTGGACAAGAGGGATACCGGGAGATTTTTACACGGAATACCACCTAATCCGGATATTATTTTGAAAATGAGAAAAAGGATTTACGGTGAGATTTAAAGCATTCCTCTATTTTTCAAAACAAGAATTTATCAATGTTTCTTTTGTGTTAAACGTAAACTTCCGAATCATTTTATGACACGATAAAATATTGTTAGGTAGGACCTTTACCTCTATAAATAGTCCTTGCAGGATAATACACTAGTATTATGTAAACCCTGCCCAAAAAATAAAAATTAAACTCCTTCACACTGGAACAACGGCACTGCATAGTAGGCACTTCTATTGTGTTTCCACTCTCACAATCTCTGTTCCTCTGTTTCGGAGATATTTAGAAAAATTAAATGACAGCTAAGTGTATACTCAAAACTCGACTCAATACTTATTCAATTTTGTGTACAAATTGGGGAAGGCGCTATAATCCGTCCGTCCGTCCGCCGGCCTTCCAGATTTCAAAATATTTGGTGCGTTATTTTTGGGTTCAGTATCTTATACCTCTGACACCTCAACCAAGAAAAATCTTGACGAATAATATGCGCAGATTGCGCAATGCCATCTTTCTTATGTATATTATGTAGATATTTTTTTGAAATTTTAAAGAAAGATTCTTGTAGTAAAGACAAGCATATCGCATATTGTAAAAATCAGATGTGCGCATGCGCAAACATACACACTTTTATTCGATTCGCTAGTATCGACGCTTTTATCACTTATCGCGGCTCCAACATAAACGCATCCTAATTTTGACACGGCCGCCTATGATGAACTGACATGCTTCAACTGCTGAACACACTGAACTTTATTGACGTTTTGTATCACTTTGGCGTTTGGAAATCGGCAGATTATATTACCTCTGTTATTCTTTATAGAGATAACGTTTTTTTGTTTGTTTGTGACCTTCACACTCCCCCACGTCACGCTTAAATGGTCAGATTATTAAAATGTACACTTTTCAACACGCAGTCAACCCATTTTACTTTAAATTGACGCGATCCAGTAAATTACAAAATAACCTATTGGGCTCCCCTACTATTGGTTAAGCGTCCCAACAAATATCTCTCAAACCAAAAAGAGACAAAAGTGCAATTAAACACAATCTAATTGAGCATTACCGTCGCGTCGTATCAACATACAAAAGTTCAATTCTTGGAGGACTGAGGGTTCACTTAGCCCCCATTTGATTTTTCTAAATAATTTTGAAATCAGAAAGGTACCAAACTTGTGTAATAAAACATGTACATGTTACCTTGAAATAATCAATGTTTTTATTTTATCAGTTATGTGCATCTGTATTGTTTCGTTTGCCAGCTAACTGCATGGTAACAGTTGGCTCTTACACGATTTCTCGAAAAAAAACCTTATAGGGGGCCCTTTTAAAAGTATTTCCCGGTAGGAATTTACAAACCAGTTCGGCCCTGGTTAGGCCTGTTCAGTCGTTGATTGGCGAGTTATTTGAAAATGTTTAAAGGAGTACTTTTTGGACAAGTTTGGTCAAACATAATATGGTCCTTCGAGCCAGATAAATACATTTACATTTCGTAAAAGGATAACGGCAGTAATCAGGCGAATGGACTGCACTTACAACATTCAACAAGCGACTGCTAAATTCGACATATTGATTATTGATTACGTAATAAATGGTTGTGTAGGATACTTACACTGAATTGAATAAATAAGCGCGCCCTTGGCTGCCCTGGAATGACTGTAAAAAAAGATACAAGTTAGAATTTGCGATTCTCCAGTCTTAGAAAGCTATTAATCTTAGGGAGTATTAAACCCTACCGGTATCGTAAACCTTTACATTAACGCAACCCGGAGAAGTGCGATCGCGGCGAATTTAAGTAATTAAAATATTGCGAATATTAAGATGCCCGGCTTGGTGCGGGCCTTTCTCGTGGATGCCCCAAGAAAGTGGAAGATCAATAGGAGTAAGGGCATTAATAAAATTTACTCGAAAGGCGTTTTATTGCCAAATATCGGATAAACTTTTGAAAGTTTAAAAGTGGGAAAGAAAGAAAGGGGTGCAGAACTGACGTTTATGGAACTGCTTAACTTATTTAAAGACTGGAATTATATCGGGACACGTACGTCTACTTATAGGGACTCTCGCGTATGCCGAGCACGTTGTCGACCACCAAACCCATTACGGTGCATAATTTCCCATTCTTGGGGGATGGGGAAGATAGCTCCGTTATTATTGAGCGCGTTTAGAGATGAGGTCGCTTGTTCCAATTATTCCAATCAGCGCCGGGAAGTGTACTTTGGTAACGACCGGCGATAACCTCAGTCAATGGCCAGTTATCAACGGTTGCGTTGAGCCGTCGAGTCTAAAGGCCCGTCTCCGTAGTAGATAAACGTGAACGATGGAGGAAACTGAAATATATGTTACTCAGCAAACTACAATGCTCAGCATAAGTGATTTGTGGCTGCTCACCATCAGCCAGTGAACTTTTATCAAATGAAATTCTCGGCAATCAACCGAGGTTCTTCCAATTTTTTTAGTACACTAAAAATGCGGTTTTAGGTACCAATTCAAAGTTGATGGCCATTGAGGTTTTCCCAAAAGGAGTAGTGTACGTATCCACGCATCAATTTTTCGGTTTTAATCACCATAAATAAAGAAAGTTTCAATATAAAGCGTGCAAGGGACGGGGCTGCATGCGGCGACATCTGGGCGCCATCCCCGAGCGTGTTAGACTAACGTGGTGATTTTTCAGTTTCTTCCTATCTTCTTCTACAGTTTTAGTCCGATTGTTTTCAAAGTGGTGTCGTCGGGAAGATCCTGCGTGCCGGATTTTTTCCCAGACATCGGAGCGCCATCAAGTCGATAAAAAATATTACTCACCGACGACAAGAACTGAAAGCGGATGCGACGCACTCTTTCTTTGAAATATAATACGCCTTTTAGACTCTTTGAGAACGTTCCGCGATTTTTTTACAAACTTCCCGTTTGCTATGTAAGACACTTAGAGTTTTAATGGGAGTTACAACATCGATTCCGAAGTGATTATTAGTGAACTTCGCGCTTGTATGTGGTAAATCTGCAGGGTATAAATTTGAGTACAGAGTGAAAAACTGTTATAAATTAATGTATGTACGGACTGTTATACATTTATTGTTAACTAATTGTATATAAAGAATTCAATTAATCAAATTTACGATACACTATCTTGCTCTCTGGTTACGTTGGTAGTGCGAAAACGTCGTCCTCAATTTCGTTGGAGAAACGGCAAAAACATATTGTCTCAATGTGCAGGAAGAAGATCTTAAACACTGTCCATCTTTATCGATTGCAGGCAGGGTACTGAACAGGATGTCCCTCCCGCCAGGAAAAACTCCGGCTCCGTTTGCAAGAGACTTCAATATCGCTCGACCATTCTGATCTATCTGGAATAGTACCGTAGCAACGCGCGATTTCTCATTAATACGAGGGGGGGGGGGGCAGAGTCCAACCTTTATGAAAGATCTCATGGAATGGGGGGGAGGCACACCTTTACGATATTCTATGAAAAGTCTCGTGGAATTTGGGGAAGAGAGGGGGATAAACACAGGTCTACCCTTTATGATATTCTATGGTGGTAAAAATTAGTTTCATTTTGATGGTATTCTAATAAAAGGTCTCAACGAAAGGAACTGATTTCTATCAACAACAGCCGTTGCCTCTCACTCCAAACAGAAATCTGGGAGTTGGTGGGGGGGATTGGTATAATCCTTCACGGTTACTATAATGAAATGTTTCAACAAAACTAATTACTTTCTACCAATAACAGTCTTCCTGATCAAATCTTCATCGTGATCAGTTATATTCCCAATTAAACCGTACTATCGACGGAGGGTATTCACAAAGGGTCATTGGAACGTCTAGAAGCAATATACTGTAATGCAAATTCAATTACGTGGTTTATTTATTTACAATTAACTAACGATAAATTTTTGAGTCTTAAAATGGACTAATTTACAACAGTGATAACTGATAAGTATCACATATACACAATTTATAACAGCGAGAACTATTTATTACTTCGGCGTTGAAATTGGAACTGTCCTCTAAATCGCCGATGACTAATCTTTCATGGCGTCTCGATGTCTATCGGAATTTCAAGCCACTGTCGTTTGAACAAACACCTGCATAAAATAGGACTGAGCGACAGCCCGTTATGCAGGAGTTGTGGTGGGGAAGAAAAAGCACCACACCACGTCATTTGCCAATGTGAAGTATACACAGAGGCAGGGGAAAACGAAAAAAGCCCTATCAAAATCCTGGACTTTGACAAAGATACAGATATTCTAGAAGGGTAGACAATACCGAGGAGCACAAAAGACCAAAAGCTCGCAGTGCAAGAACCGACTGGGACCACCCCTAGTAGGGATAATATTAATAATAATAGTAATAATAATATATAATACATATAATACACTCAAATATTGACGAAGATATCCACCAGAGTTTATGGATATTCTCAAACTTCTTCGAAATCTGCGTGTCCACCGGATCTCCTTGGATACCCGCGAAAATCTTCGGATATTCCGGGGACATCTACTTTTGTGTACAGTGTGCCCTATTTTGGTTGAGACTGCAGTGTTTTTCTTTTTAAAGATAGAGACTTCCGGTTTTCGCGATCCTGTGCCTTGTGCAACTTTTAATACGGCAAACGGAGTCAATCTAGCTACGTTTGTGTATGTGATACAGGATGGAAACGAAAAGTTTGACTTTTTTGGTATGTTATCGTAGTTTGACTTTTTTGGTATGTTATCGTATCTTACTGCTCACGTAAGATAGAAAAGGTAAAAACTGCCTATTTCAGATATTTTAAGTAGACTCCAGTGGCGTAGTCAAAAAAAATTTGGACACCATTTCTGAGATTTGATCCAAAGTTGGTATATTTTAAATGCAACACCCTGTATATTTTAACGTCAATTTTTTGCATTCTTTCCTGATTACATTGATGTATCACAAGCTATATTTTTAACGCATTTTTTAAGAATTAAAAAAATGTGCTTTGTTTGAGTTTTGTCCGTCCGTCCGGACCCACTTCTGCCGTTCGAACTACTTTCAGGGAAATGGTCCTAGAGTCCTGGAATTTTTTGCAGTAGGTAGCCTATAGCTTGACGAATTATTTCCTGAGATGCTGTTTTTGAAAGTAAAATGTGGGGAGGAGGAGGGGGGGGATCTGGTTTTATCCTTCATGGTACTCTAATGAAAGGTCTCAACGAAAGGAATTAATTTCTACCAACCATAGCCCTCCTCCTCGAGCTCTTATCGTGATCGGGTATATTCCCTTATACCTCAAGAACGGATTGTCGGAAGAGGGTGCTTACAAAGGGCGATTGAGACGTTTGCAAGAAATATACCCATTGGTGATGTCAAAACAAAAGCTATTTCGGTTAAAAAAATTGCGCTTTATCTGCAGAAGAGTTGTGCACAATTTATACTTGTTTTACTACTTATACGTTCATTACATTAATGCGACAACTTTTTGTATTAATTATTTTAACTAAAAGGAACGATGATAGTTATAATGTCACAATGCAAAATATACTACGGAAGAGTTAAGTTAGTTAACTCATACGAATAGACATACGGATTCGTTTTAGGCGAAAATTGGAGGCGACGGGGAAGGTTTTAGCTTGAAAACGTTAAAGGCAAAATCGGATTTTTTAATTATAATCGTTTAACAATGGAGAAAATTTGCCTCGATTTAAGGTCGATTCTGACTTGCGCATCTTTCGGCACTTTAAAAACAGAAGATTTTTGTTTACCACTTTTCTACCCCGTTTTGCATTTCGGCACAATGCACGGTTTTGTCGTTTTTCTCAAAGAGGCGGCACTCGTTGTGTTTACAAGTAAGCCATTACAGTTTCCAGAGAACATTCCTCGACTCATGCGCCGCCCGTGACGACTTTTGGTTACTACGCGACAGTCGACGCGTTTCGGCCTCACTGCTAGGAGACAGGCTGCAGTTTCCAGTCCTGTGTGCCATGGATACAATAAACAAAACAAAATCTCCACGACTCCATGGCCTACTATTTAAATAGGTATTTGTCAGGTTTTCAAGGCTAAAATTCACAAAAATATACATCAATATAATAAAGAATGAAAAACAATGACGTTAACATATAACATATACAGGGTGTTGCATTTAAAAAATACCAACATTGTGTCAAACCCAAGAGACTGTGGTCCACATTTTTTTATACGTCACTGGTTTCTACGTAAAAATATCTAAAAATCTAGATCCCAAAAAGTTAAACTTTTCGGTTTCACCCTGTATCTCAGAGACAAACGTGGATAGATATGTTTGTGGTATTAAAAGTTTCACCAAAAGTGGTACAAGATCGTCTCTAACTTTAAAAACAGCTGCGATACACCAACCAACATAGGACACACTGTACACTAGATATCTACTGCGATTTTCTCCCCGATCAAACCGTTAGGGTCGAAGTGAATTTTCCTTGGAGAGAGTTCCTGGCGCAAGAATAATCCCGTTGCAGTGAATTCCACATTAGATGAAATATCCAGAGGCGAATGGTCCGAGAGCGGGCGCCAATTTTTAGGGACGAATCTTCCTACAATCATAGGAAGGCTTCCCAAACTTGCACGAATCTCTACCTATCTTGGCTGAAACTCCTTCCACTTAAAAGTAAAGACCAATAAATGAACAAAAAACAACAAAGTCGAATTTGGTTTTCGCTATTTTGGCGAGAATAACAAACATTCATGGGCATCGAAAAAACAACTCATACGTTGAACCGCGCTCCGCTTTGTTTACAGTTAAGTTAGCGCGCAAATGTAAATGATTATAAACATGTTTTTTGTCTAATTATCTTTAGGTATCTGATCTCATTGCAAACATTGACGTTGGGAAATATCGTCTATTACAATAAAGGCGTAGTGTAGTGACGATATAATCGCGCTCGATAAAACTCTAAGCGTCAGGTCAACATAATTTGGGAAACCGCGCGTAATTATGACAGGTTTTCTGGCGATCCTGTTTTTAGTAGTGGAATAACCTCGAAAAATTAAATCGGAAATGCCGTCTTTTGAAACAATTCGCGCGCGAGTTTATAATTGGCTTCCTTTGTGTACGAGTTAACGTCCCGTGAGTCATCGCACATTTCGGCCCTTCTTACCTTGGAGATGAGTTCGTCGTGATTGGCGAGATGTGCCCGGCAATGGATGCACGAGTAGGTGCGATGGCATTGTGGTAGATAGGCCTGGAACGTCTTCACCATTGTGGTGGCCGCGACGGCAGGCCATGCGGAGACGTCACACCTGCAATTCGAAAAAAAGGCTCTTGTCAAACTAAACAATCGAGCAGCGAGAGTGCACTTTTCGAAAAGTGTCTACAGTCGCACTGTATTTATGTACAAAACTTATCGCTCATTTATCTTTTTCAAACACACGCTATCGCGGGAAAAACGATACGCGCGGGTCACCTTCAGCGGAAAAACTCAACAAAAGAAGGTTCCCCTCCCGCCGCCACGGAAAACGGATGCTGCGGCCGGATCGGTTTGAGTGTCAGTTAAGTAATAACAAAAATAGGTTGGTGACCTCCTCTGCCGGCGCTTCTTTAATGAAAGTACATCCTTGGCGCCATCTCAACGCACCTGGTCCATTAGCCTTATAAAACGACTTTAATTATGTGATTAATAGCAGTTCCGATACGATTTAATTAAACCTGTTCGGAAATTGGCCGGCTCCCCTTCGGGAAATATGCCATAAACGCCACAACTTGTTGCGTAAGGAACCAAAACTGCGTCATGATGGATTCCGACAGAAGGGAACAAAGACGGGCGATGATGAATTGAATCATCTCATTAACAAAGGCAACGTACTTTCTGTTCGCAGAAGAAACAAAGAAATTCTCAACGTTACTCAGTGGGAAAAGATTTGGTATTGCACAATGAGCCATTAACAAACAGAGTTTCATTATTGAAGATAACGAACGTCCTTTTTTGGAAAAATTGTATTTTCTGTTTATGGCTTCAAAGCAGGATTGCCTAAGTAAAATCATTACATTCCAATCGGTTCCAAAACATTGGTAGATTCTTTCAATTTTGAGAATGATTTTTGAGTACAAGGCGACGCGATGCGACGCATTGAAAACAAGACTCAAGGAGAGTTTTTATCTCGGTTTTTATGTTATGATATTCCTTCAACACTTTCCTTATTTTTTAGCATTCTAACCACAACCTTTAAAATGGTGGTTTGTACTTCTGGTTTCATGCCAACTCGCTTATTTTAAGTGGACCAGTCTCTATATCATTTCATTTTTAGATTCCAAACAGAGGTTTCTTGGTGTATTGTTGAGTAGGTATTACTAAAATTTTAAAATTTTTTTTTAAGCTTTATTCGAAATTCTTGAGCCTTAACATTTTCCAGAAGTTTTTTGAAATTAGAAACCTTGAAATTCATTCGAAATTCTAGACCCTTAAAATTTTTTTGATATTCTACTAAAATTTTCTTGAAGTTTTGTAAAGGCTTATTTGTAATTTTGCCGAAATTTCCTGAAATTCTCTCGACATTTTTTTGCGATATATCTGGCTTTAGATTCTTCTGAAATTTTCATAAAATTTTATCGAATTTCTCTTGAAATTTTGTTGGGAGATTTTTTTAAATTTTTCTAAAAATTGACTTCAGATCCTTTTGAACTTTTCTTAAAATTTTTCCGAATTTTTTGGTCTTTAAAATATTCTCAAAATTCTCTTGAAATTGTTTTGTAATGTCATTAAAATTTTTTTCAAATCTAAACATATTAAACTTTCCAAAAATCTGTCTTGAAATATTGTTGAATTTTCTATCGTGAAAGTTGTATCGTTTTGAATCGAAATCTTTTAAAATATTGATTTAAATACCATTGAAGTTCTTTAAAAGCTATTTTGTAATTTTTTCGAAATTCTATTGTTTCTTGAGCTGAAGGTCTGCTATTATTAAAATTTAAAAATAAATTTCATTTAAAATAAATTTTCTGGGAATTATCTTGCAATTTTATATAAATCTTGTTGAAGATTTTAAATTTTGCTGAAATTTTATTAAAATTGTCCTGAAAATGTCTTCAAATTCTATTTTGGAAATTCTTCTCCATTTTTTTTAATTCACATAAATTTGAAAAGATTCTTTTGAAATCTTCATAATATTTTACCGTTGGAGTGTTTTTTTTGTAATTTTCCCGAAGTTCTATCAAAAGTTTCATAAAATATTCTTGAAGTTATATTGTAGTATTCTTGAAATATTTTTAAATTGTATTTGAAATTCTTTTGAAAGTTCCATAAAGTTATCTGGAAAATGATTTCAGATCCGTTCCCGATCCCGAAATTTTTTTCAATTATCTTGAAATTACGTTGAAATTTTGTAAAAGTTTTTTTGTAGTTTGGTCGAAATTGTATTTAGATTTAGATTTATTTATAATTCCTTTTGACAATTATCGATATTGTATAGGAAGCGTCAAGTATAGGTATATGACAAACAATTAATGAGACAATAAACTATGACAAACAATAGATACATAAAATAGACAATTCAACATACTACTTTTCATTACGAAATTTGAAATATTCGGCGATGGAGTAAAAACAATTTTCATTTAAGTAACTTTTAAGTTGACATTTAAATTGCTGCAGGTTACAAGAACTCTTTATATATTGCGGTAGAGTAATATATATTTGTGGACCCAGGAACGCAGGAGAGTGTTGCGATACTTTTAATGTCGCTTTCGGGAGATACAGGTTGTCTTTTGTCCTGGTGTTGTGGTTGTGTATATCCGATTTTAAGGTGTAATCGTTCTTGTTTGCGAAGACATAGATACTAAGTTCATATATTAGCATACTTGGTACTGTTAATATTTGAAAAGTTTTAAAAATTAGTCTACATGACGTTGTACAACTAACGCCAGCAATTTGTCTTACAATCTTTTTTGGGCAACTAATACCTTACTAGCGAACGATGAATGACCCCAATAACAAATTCCGTATCTCAAGCGTGAGGATATTTCGCTGTGATAGAGGTTTATTATTTGTGGTAGCGTTAGCACATGTTTCAGATTTTTAATTAGAAATATTGTAGAATGCAATTTACTAACTAATTCGGTACAGTGTGCTTTCCAGTTCAGGTGTTCGTCAATTGTTACCCCTAAAAACTTGACCTTGTTAGTTTGTAAGAGAGGCAAGTTATTAAGTGATAAGCTTAGCTGTTGTACGTGCTTTTTTGGATGATGAAATCTGACGACTTGGGTCTTGGCTACATTAAAGTACAAGTCATTGTGAGAAAACCAATTGGAGAGGCTTTGCAGAAGTTCGCAGCATTTATTTTCAAGGACCGTTTGTGACTTATCCGAGAGTTGGAGTGACGTATCGTCAGCATATAGGGTGAATTTAGCTGTAGAGTAGGCTCGCTCTATGTCATTGATGTAGAGTAGAAAGAGGACAGGACCCAAAATTGAGCCCTGGGGTACTCCCATATTCATACGTACATGGTTTGAGTTTATGTTACACTTTATTCCGCCTTTGTGTTTAAGTGTGTATTAAGTTACCTGAAAAATTTTCAAGATTTTTTTTAAAATTTCAAATTCTTTGAAGTCTGAAATATTGTAGAAACTCTCTTGAAATTGTTTTGCAATTGCATTGAAATCCTTTTTACATTTTGATGCAAATTTTGAAAACTATATTAAAATTTTCTTGGAAATTGTCTTGAATATTGTAGTATCTTATCCAAATATACTTACTTCTTTTAACTTAATTGGAAATACTTTTGAATTTCTTGAAGTCTTTCGAAAATTATTTTAAATTTCTATTAAATTCTCGTTGAAACTTGAAATTGACTTTAGTTTCTTCTCAAATTTTCATAAAATTTAACCGAATTTCTCTTAATATTTTTTTGTAAGTTTTCCGGAATTCCATCAACAGTTTCTTAAAATATTCTTGAAGTGTTGTTGTAGTAGTTCTCTTGAAAGTTATCTGGAAATTAACTTCAGATCCTTCTGAACTTTTCTTCAAATTTTCCCGAAATTACATATCTAGAAATTCTACCAAATTTTGTTGAAATTTTGTAATTTTGCCGAAATTGTGTTAAGTTTCCTGAAATGCTCTTGACATTTATTTGTCTTTGCTAGAAGTGTCTATGGTTAAAATTTCAGTAATAAGGTGAGTAAAGGAACATGGCCATTTCGCAGTCTGCGCATGTGCAATTTTGCACACCTAATTTTTAGAATAATGCGACATGCTTGTCCTTACTAAAAAGCATCTGTGGTTGAAATTAAAAAAAAAATTAATTTCTATTTCTTTTTGATTAAGTATGTATTTTTGGTTTTTCAAAATTTTAAATTCGGTTTTTATTTTTTTCAATTTTTGTATTCTCCAATTTTAATTTTTTTTCTTGAATTATGAATTTTGATATTTAATTATTGATACTTTGTTACCGCAATTTATTTATATTTTTATTTCGAATTTTTAGTTTCTGTTTGAATTTCAATTGTAAGTTTTAAAATGTTTAATTTTTATTTATTTTATATTTCTATTTTTATTTAGGGTTCTTAGTTTCTGTTTGAATTTCAATTGTAGAGTATTTTATGAATTTTTTACTTTCTATTACGATGAAATTTTTATTTTGTTTTTAGGGCAGGAAATACCGAATCGTACAGTCCACACGCAACGTCCTCCGCGGATATTTTAACGACATCGATCGAACGATAGCTTTTTTGTGTCGAAAAAGAAGAAGGTTTTCTAGACTCAGGTGCCAGAGCATAAGCTACGAAATTCAAAAAGGACGAACTAAATATAATGCAAACTGTAGGAGTCGTTAAGGTCTCAGACGGACGGACAGACCGACACAGAACGCGGCTGCAATATCGCACCCAACTTCACTAGAAAATGTCTTAAAAACGAATTCAGAGTATGAAATGGGTTCAGCTTTTAGGGGTCGAAAATGGTTTTTCATGGTTTCCAACGAAACCCTGTCAAAAATATTAAATGACGTTTTCAATTAGAGATGAGGTCCATTTTTAGGTAGAATAACAAAATGAAAGCCTGGAAAACGACCTCTTTTATTGCAGACACCTTGAGAACCTAAGGTCGCATTAGGTTCAGCGGATGTCGCCCGCGGCATCGTCGAGTTGTTAGCGGAAGTCCGCACCATGTGCTGGACTTAGTCTTGGATAAAGACATCATTTCAATCAGGACAGGCTTTAGGCGTAAGCGGTGTAACCCCCCGCTTACGGCGTAGACTAGAAGGGGCGCAAAAATTACTCAAATTTTGTCGCATCACGGATATAAACGCCG